ACTGACTGTAACTTTGTGCGTTAAAACAAGTGTATGCTTTTTGTGAAATTGTGATGTTATTCCAGTTTTACTATTTACAATACACTACGTCACTACTGTTAGTGCAACGTATCAGAATTTCTATGTCTTGTTCATGTTGTTGTGAAAGATTAAACGTGGTTTTTGCAGCCCGCGCTAATGGTAACGTTGTTTATTCTTTGTTAAATTTTTGTATTGCATACACCTAAAAAGCAGAACATGTTTGTATACAAATCATCAAAATAATTGATATGTTTTAGTTACATACTTGCATATATTCTTACGTTTACATGTATGTAGATGTATATTTATGCTTAAATATTTACATTTATCTCATATAATACGTGTACCTTTGTGTGATAAAAAAATTTGAGTCTATGCCTTTCGTTAATCTGTTATGTTTTATTTCATTCCCAATACACATTATAGACATAGCAATGCATAGACACTGACAGGGTTTGTTTGAAGTTTCAAATGTTCTTGTTGAAACATGTACGATATTCCATTCATATTATATTAAAGTTTGTATGACAAGTGAGTTTCACACAACCAAGTTGGTTGTGACAACTTGGTTTATTCATTGTATTTTTCTTCTCCGATTATTTTGTCCCTGGAAATAATCATTACACAGTTCTATAATAAATATCATATAAAAGTAATTTCTTCATTTCTTACGATACCCATTGCTGCGGGGAGCTGTTTTATTTTGCAAACTATATACTGGAAAGTGAGGCAGTTGACATATTATTTCCAAATCCTACATAAAAAATTCGAAATAAATTACATTGGATTGTAGTAGCTACAGTAGTATCATTTTGTTATCACAGACCCTGTCGGTAAAGAAAAAGTACGTAAACGATAGACATTTTAAACACATAACCTCAATTTCTCGAATGAAATACGAATGGATAAGTGGTTACCATCTAAAACCAGAACCGCGGTTATACGATATGTTTAAAAATTTGTTATCAAAATCCCCGAAATTTCGAATATTGATTAAGATGATTATCTTGTTTTTTTATCGTAAATTTCTTTAATGTTTATCACAAAATTTCTGAACGACAATTGGGAATATCGTACCACAGTCTTTTACAATGGAACATCAAAAAACTTTTCGTTTAACAACTTGTCGATCTGATATAAGTGATTAATGTCACCCACTAACAGACGGCCACAATTTTGTATGATTTTCCTCCATTGTCCTGACTTCTATAGACATTTGATTTACACACAATCTTTCTGGCAACTTAAATATCACTTATTAAAAATGTATGCATATTTATGTCAATTGCATTTATCACAAATTTAACGAATATACTTTGATCGCATAATTAAAGGTTAACAAATATATTCACCAAATGTTTTTTACACGATTTTTTTTTGTAAAATATCATATAAAAATGTATCAACGTTAAAAGCAAGTCGAACTAAATTGTGAAATTAAAATACCCATAAAATAAATTTTGAAATTTACATATATTACAACACATTTTTTATTATATTGTACACTGAACATTAGATAACCATAGATTTATACAATTTCAACAGATTTTTAATTTAGAAGTAACCAGTTACATAATATCAGTAAAAAACCCGAACAAACGTCATATATACAAAGGAGGATATAAATATGCGAGGAAAAAATAATAATAATTTAAATAATCGCTTTATTACAACACACATAAATTGCTTTAACACAAAAAATATACAGTATGGACTTAGAGGAGTATTATTGTAATTGATAACATAGAGTGGACCATTAAACATTTTAAAAAAATCAAATCTAAAATTTATGACTTCGTGATTACTGAGATTGGCAGAAAATTTATAATGTTTACCGCGGATGGTCTGGCCACTGTACGGTCATAGCGAATTGAAACAATTTCCCACCCTGGTGACGATGATTCACTCTCGTCACATTGATAATACACATGATTAATAGTTTATTGTAGTCATACCTAGGATTGTTATATTTATTCATTTCATGTTTGCATCTAATGTTAAAATTTGTTATATAATACCTTTAATAAGTTTAAAATACACAAATATGTTTAACCGCTGTTCAAACTACTGCGTACGTTTAAATGTCTAACTAATCAGATTTAATAGTTTAAGCAAATTAACTAGTGAATACTCTCACTTTTAAATTAAAAAAACATGATTTCAACAAAAATATACCAAAAAATTTTTTTTAATATCAAGAATTTCTTTTCTACTCAGTTTTCTAAACCATTGATTAGTATTATGGCAGAACATATCAAAAAATTGTGACAAATGTCCCAGAAAAATGTTTGTTCATGCCTATGGTCTTATCACATGTAATAATATTATTGAAATATCCGTATTTTCAACCCGCCACAACTTTGTTACAATAGAACTATTTAGTACTTAGAAATTAAAATAGCGTTCTAAAAAACCTATTAAAATATTAGCTGTTTTAATGTAACATATATTAAATATATATTTATATTGATGTAATGATGTACAGCTTGTATTTATTGACTGTAAAGATGTGAGATAAAAAATATTTATGCCTTTTGTCAATCTGTTGTTTTTTCAGATTTATCATTCCCAACTCATCACAGCTACTGTTACGCATCAGAACGTGCATATATATTATGAAAATGTAAATGTGATAATTACAGCCCGAGGTAATAGTTACGTTGTTGTATAAGTGAAGACTAAATGATAGTGTTGACTTACCCAAACTGCTTTGACCATTAGGATTAGTTATGACTATCCAATGTAGCCTTAAAATGTTTATACATCCTTAAGTTTGGAAATTGCCATGCAGACCACTTCTAATATTCTAGTAGATCCGGAACAGTGATCTAGAGCTCTACTAGTCAGCTGGGTTATTGAGCTATATTGTACATCGATTTTTGAAATTATTTAAATATACTTACTTTCAAACATACATCATACATATTTGTGTTGTATTGTTATTAAATCATTTTTAAGTCAAATTGAATAAAATCATATTTTCTTTTAGGGATTATTATCATTTATATAAAAATATTTTTTGTATAGTCGAGTTTATAAACGGCTATAGCAAAAGTTAACACAACTCGAGTTTACAGATACATTATTTTATAGTATTCCCTATATTATTTATAATATCTAAACCAAAATGAACGAACTTGTTGATCATATAATAAACACCTCTTACTATCTATTTTTATTGTTGACTTGTAAATAATATATGTCCTGTAGGTTTATATAGGATTATAGGACTAGTATACCTATGGAGGTATATAGTTTTATGCACACTCTCTGATAAAAAAAATTGTTATGTGTATTTAATTAAAAATAATTAATATACATACATTATTATGAAACTGAGGGAGTTTTAGGTACACTCATTATCTAAAATATAGTTACGGTTTCCCTGCATGAAGATCCTTTTCTAGTTGCAGTTGACAATAGGACATGCTGATTGTATTTACTCAACCATATTTCAGGCTGGTTGTTCAAGCTAGACATTGCAGGTTCATTGTTGTTTGAGACATTTGTGGCCACTAAACTACCCATGTAACACATACAATCATGGTTTATGATTTAAGAATATATAATATGAGTACAATTACACAACATTTAAAATAAATTTTGTGTTTGTGATATCTCATTCAATAAAAGTTAAATATCACTAACAATTTATACATTTTATCATTGTCTTGAGTTTTATTTATTTTTCAAACAAAATTGATTATAATTCAAGTATATACATAATGTATAAAATGATGTTATTTTAAAAAGATACCAAAATTCATAACTTATAGCAATTGTAATATAATAATATTTTAATTAAACCATAATATACAAAAATAAATAAATTAAAACTTGGTGAACAATCTATGATGGTTTTAGACAAAGTACATGTATATTAAAAACTTCATGTATTGGAAAACTAAAAAATTGATCATTCCCTCATATAACATGAGTTTTAATGTGGGTATAATATGAACTAAGAAAATCATATTGTTTATAACATCTTTTACATAGTAACCTTTTTAAACATTTTTGTTCTGTTTTATTTTTTTTATGATTATTTAAATGTGTTTTATAATTTTTATAAACTTTGAATTTAAGTCCACAAATCGTACACAAAAATATTTCATTCAACTTATCTGAATGTTCATTACTATGCAATTTCCATTCAGCAACAGATTTAAAAGTTTTTCTATGTTTTCTACAGTTCAATTCAGTGTTATAGATACAATTCAAACGAGAATCATTTTTATGTTTTTCAACTGAATTAGTAATATTTGGAGTTCTATCTACTGTTTTTGAATTATCTTCAAAACTATCCTTACTTATGGATTCTTTTCCAAACATATCTTCATTTATATGGATAATGGATTCACAACCATTATTCAATTCTTTACTTATTTTGGCATGAACAGTATTATTATCTATCAGTATTCCTATAGATTTTTCATTTTCATCAAAATCTATGGTATTCATTTCAATCTCAGATTCATTTTCATTGTTTTTGAATGTACGTTGAATATTTGCTTTGCCTTCATCTGGTATGGATCCCTGTGTATCAGTCTTCTTCAGTTTACATGGTTTAATTTCATCATGCTTTTCACTAATTTTTGTCAGCCTTAATTTTAATTCATCAATATACGGATATTCTTTTTTACCCTGCATTTTTTTTAAAAGAAGCTTACTATCGTTTTCTTGTTCTCCCAATTTGAGTAAAGTTTCTTTCATTATGAAAGACAGCGATTGTAGTTTTCCATCAGTTTTTTCAGACTCGTCGATTTCTTGGTCACTATTTGAGCGGTTATCGTTTTGATTTGAACTATACACTGACACAGCATTCAACTTCTCTGGTCTGCCTAGTTTTTTTAAGTTAACCTCGGCATTATTACTAATATTGTTCTTTTTTGGTCGTCCTCTAGGTTTTTTCACAAAAGGACCATCATTTTTTTTATCTGAATAATTCGTTGGCTTTTCTTTAACCTTATTTTTCTGGAATATTTTATCAGAATAGACTTTATTACGAGTCTGTAAGGTGTTCAACATTTCAGGATTTAATGAATTTATTTGTATATTATGACCAAAATCTCCATCAGACTTTCTTATACTTGGTGTCCAAGCATGTCTACGTTTTCTATTCTTAAATTTTAGATAGATAAGATTTGGCCCATCGTAAGTTCTAACACAAATATCAGTACCAACATGTGCTTTATAAGACAATTTTGAAGCAAACTTTTGACAGCATTTTTGACAAACAACTTGTTTACAAATAAAGTCAAAGTCCTTTAATGGTAACAACTTTAACGTGCCTTTTTTAATACAAAAATTTTCGTATCCAGTTTTTATACTATTATTTTTGTATTTGAGATCTGCATTATGGCGAAGTAAAACTAATAAATGATCTCTGGAAGTCTGAAAAACAATAATATAAATAAATATATAAGCACATTAATTAAATAATTATAATACTTAATACAATAATACAAAATGTATAATAAAGGTCTAAGGTTACAGAATTGTAAATTACTTACATAATAGATAATTATTATAATTATACATGGGTATTAAAAAATATATTATGTACTTCAAACGTTTAACTCAGCCAATTTATTTCAAAAACAATCAATAAATTTTATATTTTGAAAATTCTAATACATACATTTTGAATGAATAGCTTATTAACTATAAATTATAATATATTTATATATTATATATATTTAGGACTACACTTAAATTATGACAAACCAGAATAGATGGTCATGGGGAGACGAAACAACATAGAAATATTGCCATTCACGAATATTGATATTTATGAGTTCAGTCAAACAATTTAAATACTTATTTAATTAAAAATGTACTCTAGCATTTCTATGAGGAAAAAATGCTTTTACGGAATCACAAAGAAACTAGGTTGTAGTATCTGTTGATAAAAGTTAAGAAATAATTTTATATTATACCAATTTGCCCAGTAATCACCTATGGGTAGTGTCCCTAGGAGACATGGCTCCTAAGAAAACAAAGTAAAAGAAACTGATAGTTTTTTAAACAAAAACCTGAAGGAAGATTTTTGGACCAGTAAATGATGAAGAAAGGGGGTCAGTGAAGAGCATGGAAAAATAACGAGTTGGGAGACTTCCAGAAACAAATCATATTGAACACAATTAAGAGCCAAAGATTACAGTGGTAGAAGCACGCATGGAATCAACTTTTATGCATGATCAAGGAAAAAAATCTAGTAAGAAAAGGGCAAATTGGAAACATCATTTGAGATATGAAGATATAATTTAAAAAGATGCAGAATCACAGAATAGAAGACCAGACTAGAAAACATGAGCAGCTTATAAGGAAAATTGAAAGATTGTGTGACAAGATGGATGATCTTAATGGTAAATAGTTCCTAAGAAAAAGAAGAGTACACCAAAAATGTCAAAGATAAAGCCTCATAGGTAGAGTATGAGATAAAAAAATTATAGTTCAAATTTAAAAAGTTAAAAGTTAAAAATATGAACTATTAGATGTTATTAAATTTTAATTTTTGAAAATTAAAAATACTGAATAAAAAACTTACAAAAAACAACTAGTCAAAGGAACAGATTTAAATGTAATAAAAATTACAAAAATTTGTACATAAATATGGAAGTATAATTTATAAAACATGTGCTAAATATATCAAAATATATGGGAATAAACATTTTTATTTCTATATAAGTACAAGGCATTTAGGGAAAAAATACATGAAATAAAATTTTAAAAATATCAGATATATTTAGAATATATTATCAAAAGATGAGTAGCATTGAATAATTTACGATTTCTTCTAAATATTTGTATGTTAAATATCGCCTATTAGGTCTCATAAAAATATTTTTAAAACAGCTAAACGATCATTTGACATCAACAAATGTAATTGGAGCATATTTAAAGGGCATAATATCTGAAGGTAATGATTCCAAATTTTTAAAAGGGTGTCAGCCACTCATTATTTCATTGATTGTTTTTAAATCAATTTAGCCATATCTAAATGGTCTATAAGTATATTTGATAATTCCAAAAATCAAAATTTGAATACATGCATAATTTAATCATAAAAATAAAGTGAGCATGCTTAAAAAATCATCCTGTATAACAACTATGGTGATATCAAGAATCATTTACCTATATTATTTTATTTACTATGACATTTTCTATTGTGATTAATGAGAGATTAAAAATATTTCCCACAGAATAATGATTATTGTTAATATGTTTGTAAATAGGCCAATATAAAAATATGAAATTTGTAATGATCGGTAAAATACATAAAAACTGTATTTGCTCAAAATATATAAAAATGAATACAGATGTTTTATATTATTTAAGGTCATCACTGACAACAGCAGTGGCGGTAAAACTATTTTTTCTTGACGGTGCCGCCATGGTGGCAGTCAATTGTGTGTGGACTCACTTTACCGCTACCTACCACTGCAGTGTGTTGAAAACTTTAAAATATTTTGAAAATCATAATTATCAAACAGAACCTGCATTTAACAAAATTATATATTTACATAAAAATGTATGTCCTAGGTATCACAAAGATTAACTGTATTAACTGATTAAACTTAAGTGCAAAGTCATAAAAATGAAAACACAAAACTAATTCGTAAAATACAGATGATTATAATTTGATATATTATATTAAAGTGTACATGTTTGTAGGTTATACAATTGGTATATTTTTAAAATATGTGAAGGTAGATCAAATAATATATTTTGGTTATCTAATAGTTAATCATTAAATAGTTAAATACTAGTGTATTTTTATAAATATATTAGTCTGTAAATAAATTGTTTATGAATCAAGTATGCACAATTATGCATATTTTATTAATTAAAATATAATAGAATACCTATTATTTTAATAAGTGGATCCACAAATTAGTTTACTCGGTATAATTCATTAATCTTCAGTAAACTAACTTACAGTTTATTCTACAGCATAATAATACTTAAAATACCATTAATTATCTACTTTAAAGAAAAAATAAAATAATTAAGTTATAATTACCGTGGGTGAATCATTTTCTGGAGCAATAGTCTCAAGATTTAATAGTTTAAAAAATGAAATTTTTTCCAAATTTGTTTCAGTCATTTTTACACTAAAACAAAATTAAATATTAAAATAATTAGTAATTACAATAGCTCATAGGGTAAAGGATAATACTTAAAAATAAAAGTATCATAAATAAATCTATCAACTGCTAATTTTAAGTTGATCACAATTATATCTATATTCAAGGCTGGGCAAGTTAACTATTTTCTTTAACTTGTTAAGTTAAGTTAATATAGAAATATGTCAGTTGAGTTTAAAGCTAAGAGTTACTTTTCGTTTTTTTAAACTTGTAAAAGTTAACAGAAAAATAAAAGTTACTTAATTTAGTAACAAATCTGTTACTCACTTTTTTCATAAAAAATTAAAAATTATACCTTTTTTTAAAACTAACAAATATCATGGTAATATAATAGAAGTTGTACAGTTTTAAATAAATTTCTATAAGTACTTTTAAGCTTTAATACTGTAATCAACTACAAAATCCAACAAAATAATTATATTTATGTATTTGTTTACCTATTAGTCCACAACTATACGAAATCATAGTTACCAAATTAATTATTAGAATATTATTAATTACCTACACATAAAATATCAAATATTATTAATTCAATTGTAATTCTATGAATGAATAAAAATATAATAATAAATAATGACTATTTATTAATTAAGATTACCGAGTATGCAAACGCATAAGGGATAGGTACAGAGTAAATAGTTATATTTTTCTTTTCTCAATGACGCACTACTACTGTGACGTATCTGTTTATAAAATATTCTCTCAATATGCAATATTATAATTTATAACCATTATTTCAAATTATTATTTATTACATATTATATTAATAAATTATATATGATAATTCAGATTATTATTATTTTTTTGTTTATGCAATTAAATAATTATTTACAAAATAAAAAATTTAACTTGTTAATTTAGAAGTTACTTCTAAAAAAATGTAACTCGTTATGTAGCTTAGTTAAAAGTAACTGAAATTTTTAACTCGTTAATGCTGAACCTTGCCTATATTGTTTTTTTAAATTAAATTATTTAATTTTATACCTTAATACATTTGAAATCAAATTAAAACATCTAATTAATCAAAATAATAAAAAATATATATAAAAGAACTACCTATAGTTTAATATTTTTTAATCAATTATTCCAGTAGGTATGTAATTAATAAACAATGAGACTTTAATTAATATTATTTATAAAAAGTACCTAGGTATATTAAGTTATTGATTATTGGTTACATTCTAAACTTATCTAGCTAAATTGATATTAAATACAATTCAGTAGAATAATCACATAGACAAGAGGGCTCAGATGTTTATGCAATTAAAACTACTGTAATATGCATGCATTTATGCACTAAAAAATTACGAATTACGCAATCAGAATATGAGCTAAAAAAGATAAAATATGAATTTTTAGCCAGTAAAAACACCAAAATATGTACAAAATAATTTATAATAATTTATAAAACATAAATATTTTATTTATATTAACTGGTAGTTATTTTTATTTATTATTTTTTTTAAAACAATTTAAAATACATTTTTTAAATTTATATAGCGCTTTATTTACTTTAATTTACACTATTATTTATCACATTATTTATTTGTGTCACTATGGTTTTTTAATTTTATCAAATTTGTATCTGCATCTGTTTTCAGTAAGTAAATTGTTGTAGCGTGAAAACTTTGTTCTATATCAACTAATGTTATTGGAGCATAGCATATTGAAGAAAGCAAGATCCTCAACCTTCACCTTGTCTTCTAATCCTTCCATACTATTAACTTCAACGAAATGTACTTACAAAATTTATACCAAAGTTTTATATCTATTATTTTTTTCAATTACGTTCTAAAATTTGTTGTGGATTTCTTTTCTTACTTTTCCATTAGCCATTTTGAGGATGGTGAGTGGTTTGTAGTAACCACCTTTAAAACTTATGTATACAAATTGTGGAATTAATTGTATGGTTTGTTAATTTAAATTGTTGTTTAAAAAAATGTACATAAATAAATATATTTATTTTTTAAATCCTAAAATATGAAACTAAAATACAAAAACCATTAAATATGCAAAAATATGCAAAATAAAAATAGTATTCTTTAATTTAGTAGAACATGAATTAAACTTGCATCCAGGCTAGCATTAAATTTGATAAATAGAAAAAATATGCAATTTCATAAACATCCGAGCCCCCATTATTAACAATAAAAATAATTTGTCACAAACTCAGAAATTGTGAACAAAATTTTTTTTCATAATTTGGTACTTATGTAATAATAGAATTGAAACTATTGCTTGAAAATAGTATTTATTAGTATGTTACTCACAGTGTATTGATCATTAAATTGAAACTATATTCGGTAATTTTTTTGGAATATATTAAGATGACAATTTTTTTTTGTTATCAATGTATTAAAATTGACAAAGAAATTTAAAAACAAAATAAAAATAGGAAAAAGTAGAAAGAAACAATTGCTGCACTACTGTAAAAAGTCACTGAAAGCAGCTTACATATTATAACTGGCACTAGACAACCGAATAACGTGAAATATTGATAATGAACAATCATTATGTTATTGTATCCTACATAAAATTATTATAGCAAATTATTTATTGAATTAGAGAATTATTTTAATCTTGGTTTACTTCAGACTTCACTAAAACTATAGAAATATTAAAGTTTGTTCCAACGAAAGATTACATTATTTGTGAATTTGCATTATAACTCTTATCACATCTGTGAGGGTATTATAAAATACATGTGTAAGTGTCTGTAAAAAAACACAGCTTAAATATATTTTTGATTTTTTAGCTATGTCAGAAATAATATAGCAATTGACCATGGAGTAGTACATCATTATCTCCTTCATAATATATTGTTCAATTTACTTTTTTTCAAAGTGTTACAATATCTCATACCCATATTATACCAGTATAATATGCCTTTATATTGATATATATTAGTGTCTAAGACCCTACTCACTCTACTACATTTCAAAATTAATTTGTTTCTTTTAATCATGAAAATGAGATACTTATAATTATTGTTTTAATTTTGTTTTAATTTTGTTTTATTTAAATAAATTATCTACATGAAAATAATAAAATGCCTCAAAACTCTTCAACTCAGTTAATTTTAGATAATATTATAAAATAAAATATTAAAAATATTATTATTTTAATATGTACACCATTAAAAAATGCATTAAACAAGGACAGTGAAAAATTACAACAAACAAGGTTGCATTGTTGCACAAGAGAGCCTAGATAATAGGCCATCTAAGTAGATAATGGGTATGCCTCGTCCAAAAATTCCTACGTTTTTTTTAATTAAAAAAGCATAAACAATACTAATAATATAATATACTAGCCAATTTATAAAATATAAAAGAAATATGCTTACTGTGTTATATATAAGTTTACTAATATACGAGAACTGTGTATAACAACGGCATTACGAGCGGCGTGCAACAAGTGTCAGTGATGTAGGTACATGCCTTGACGACAAAATACTATGGTCTATGTGTTACAGTACTACCTCACACTACTATGTATAATATGAGTAAACAAATAAAGAATAATAAGCCTCTTCTATATTGCCCTATACTCATTTCTTATCTATCAGTATTAATAGTCCATGACCAAAACACACTCACGTTGTTTATTGAACACGTTCTTATTGGTCCCAACTTGTCATACCGAAGCCCGTGTCCGGTATTGTGTAAATTTTTAGTTATTACCGAAGTACTGCATTTTATAATCCAATATTGCTAGCGGAACATACGTACATTGTAGGTATTAATAACTTAATAATTCAAATTTTGTTCTTCTTTCTTGATACACTTTGTCCCTATTATTAATGACACAACTCTATAAAAAATTTCAAATAATAGGTGATAGTTAATAACTCGATAACCACAGCTGCTGCAAGCTTTTTAGATTTGTTAAAATGAGGCAGTTAACTTATTATTTCCAAAAACCACATACAAAATTCAAATTAAGCTAAAAATTAAATTGCCGTATAATAGTATCATACTATAACCTAAGAATACAACGGTAAAAAAATACTTAGATACTAAACATTTTACGCACATAACCTCAATTGTACGTATGAAAAACGAATTGATAAGTAGTTATCTCCGAAACCATGGTTAGACCATGGCTTAAATATACAAGGTTATTGCAATAGTACCCCCACTATATCATTTTATCAAGTTCAGGAATTAAAATGGCAGCGTAAGGGGACGACGTATACAGGGCTATATTATGATATTATATCCTATGATATGGACCGTACCCTTACGCTGCCATTTTATTTTTATTTGATAACAATTTGGCTATGTGCAATAACCTTGTATATTTAAGCCATGGGTTAGACGATACGTTTAATAATTCGTTATCACATTAATTTTTATAACATTCAGATTAGTCCACAGATCATATATACTGGATCAATCCCTGGCCTATAGATTACACATAACGTCGATGTGTACATGTTAGCGACGAATCACCGGTTTTGTGGCATCTACAGCACATGAGCTAGTAACTAGTTACATATTTATCTCAATCTATCCATTATAAATATTTCATCATTTCATTGGGACAAATATGTGACCATTCACTTGCGCATGCGCAGATAAGTAAGAATAAGTGATGACTTGTCGCTAACATATACACCAAAATATTGAGCTGTGGCTCCATCCATTGTATATGATCTAAGAATGAACCATATTATTGTTAATATTGGACTTATTTAAATTTTTATCTAGACGCGTTCTTCTCCTGATGGCAGATTATTTTTGTAGGACCACTTATTTTACAGTTTGGTATCCTTATCTCTAGTCTTCATAGTCGTCATAATACACGAAATTATAAATATTGATAAAGCTAATTTTCTATAGCTTTTAAAGTTAAATTGGTATAATATATTTTTTAGGTATATACAGTGCCACAAAAACCGGGTGAGCAGAGTGTGCGGCGCACACGGACCTCAAGGCTTACATACATTTGGGGGGCCCCGGGCCCAATTTGGAGCAAACACTGAAATTGTCTTAAAACTCAAAACTTAATTATTCATAATACTTTTTTTTTTAAGTTGAAACATTATTGTAGTTGTAGGTATATACTAATATTAGATTAAGTAATAAGTATGTTAAAATGGATGGTAGGTTTAGAAAAAGGTGGGTACCTATCAAGTATTCAAGTGTCAACGTTTCTAACTTTATTAGTACTATCAATTTTTTCCATAAGATCTATTTTTATCGCGTCTATGGGTCTTTGTTTGTCGCATTGTCGGAAGAACAACAGGCTGATAGCGGAAAACGCCGACGGTTGATGAGTGACGACGTACACAACATTTTATAGGTATTTAGTACTGGGAGGCCTCTGATATCCGTTTAGTCTGCCTTTTTATTTTTATTAATTTTAGCTTATTCTATAACATCACTTATTCTTATTGTTCCCTTTGAAACAGATTGAATAAAACGTATGAACCAAAAAAAAATTTATATATATGTAGGTATACACAAAACCTAAAAACGTTGGCACTTCTAGATTGTAATACATACAGTAAAATTAATTTAGGAAGGTGCCCAAAAAAATATTGCACACGGGCCCCTTATTATGAAGTTGCGGCACTGGGTATATATATTTGGCTGTTATTATTGTTATTTGTTTCATTGGTAACTCAAATCAAAAATAAATAGTTCATTAAAACTTACTTTAAGAAAACTAAGGATATTACAAACTTCACAATATGATTGGAATAATGATGTATTGTATTAGAAAATACATACATCAAATAAAAACATTAAGCAACATATTATTTAAATTACTCATCAATCAGTATTCTTTTTAGTACTGAATGAGACAAAACGACTACATTTTATTTTTTTGATTATTACAGACAGTAGAACAAATATTAATTTTACTATTTTATAATATAAATAGTACATTACAGTATATTAATTTCCATTTTTAACTTTACTTTTTTAGTTTTATTACCCATTATTATAATTTTAAATATGATATTAAGTAAGCAAATAATTTATTGATAATCTCAATACTAACATATAGATAACAACAAACACTTTAAACATGATTAATTTTTTTTAATGCAATTAAATTTTTAAATTATGTAAATGTTTGTAAAACAAAGAACAACATTTTTCTTTTTAAACTAAGACCAATTATATATCAAGTTATCGAAATTACATAAACTTTCATTTAAAATTGACAAAATTATTAAACAGGTAGATATTTTTGGTTATATTATAATTTATTATAATTTGTAAACATAACGCAATATTTTATTATAATTACGTATATGCAAATTTAAATATAGATTAATTATGTGTGAAATAAAAAAAACAATGAGCATGTATGTAACAGATAAAATTATTTTATAATTAATAATAATAATAACCACTAGATATAATAAAATAATAACAAACGCAACCAATCCAGTTACCAGCACACACAATAAAAAAAATATATAAATATCAATAAATATATATGTATATATATATATATATGTGGGTATATGTTAATAAATGAAATAATAGTATTGCAATAAAATATTAAAGATAATCATAATGGAATAAAATAGAAATACATATAAGATAATAAAAATCACAATGTGCGGTGATGACTGATTTTGGCATTGCTAATCATAATCATCAACATTGATAAAACAAACACATTCAACCGCGTACAAAAGAGATAAATGTGGCACAAGTACTATAATAAGTTTAAAAATTCAAAAGACGTCGGCTAATCGTTCCTCAAACAGCCAAGTCACTTGTTACTGTTAATAGCTGATGTAGTAACAGTATCATTGCCACTATTGGCACCAATTTTTTCTGGTTGAATTGGTGGTGGGCCTGATATTAACAAATCGTCATCCAACAAATTTAAGATTGGAGTGGCAGTTGATGTCATAGTGGCTAAGCCACCACCACCACTACCATCACCAGCAATGGGAAGCTGTTGTTGATAGTACTGTTGCTGCTGTAGATGTTGGTTGAAGGCTACTGCCACCATTGGTGGCTGCTGATAAATGTAATTGTTAAGTGTTGTTGGTACAGTGTTGAATGTAGTTGCTGATATTACTGTCGTTGGGGAATGATGCGGCTGGAGTTGTTGATAATAACTACTGCCGACACTGAGGATGTTATTTGACAATAATGGCGGTTGCTGCAGACTGCCAGTTACTGCAGACGTTGACGTTGGTTGCAGTAGAACTTGTTTCTGGTGTTGTGGTGGTTGATACAGTTGGGATGTCTGTTGGTGGATCGGCGAAGGATAGTAAAAATTACCAGTGGTACTTCCTATTGTAGTCGTTAATTGATGGGGCTGTTGCTGTAAATGTTGATACATCTGAGGTATTTGCTGTTGGTACAGTTGAGGCTGCTGCTGCTGTGGATATAACTGAGGCTGCATTTGCTGTTGGTACAACTGAGGCTGTTGTGGATGCTGTTGCTGTGGTTTCTGTTCCTGTAGATGCTGTTGATAAATTTGAAGTTGTTGCTGTTGCTGTTGTTGCTGTTGCTGTTGCTGCTGTTGCTGTTGCTGCTGTTGCTGTTGCTGCTGTTGCTGTTGCTGCTGTTGTTGTTGCTGCAATTGTGATGGTAATTGATGGTAAAAATTTCCAACAGTTGATGTACCACCAACAGTAGTGGAAGACGATTCCGCCACTGCTGATAAACCACAACTGTTAACAGTAGCTGTCGAAATCGGAGGAGAAGACATCGGTAATGGTGGCTGTGATATGTCAGCAGATAAACCACTACCTCCTCTCACCATTTGCTGTTGATTTTGTTGTACAAATGCTCCCGCTGTTCCAACACGTGTCGCACCAGCATTGGTGGTTGAAATTTGTTGCTGGAACTTTTGTGGTGAATAAAATTGCTGCTGTCGTGATGCTAATAATGTATGAGGATGGTGATACCCATAACCACTGGCAGCACCATAACCAATACCACCACTGTATTGTGAGGGCAGTGGTCGCTGCAAAATTGCAACTGCTGCTGCTGCATTTGGGAAAACGTCACTACCACTACTCTGACTATACGAAGAAATTACGTTTTGGCTACTGCCATTGTTATCACTCAAATGAAGAGCATTCATTGCAGGCGTCATGGGTAAATCAATATCGCCAGTAGAAGCTGGAGTTATAATGTTGTTGTATGATGGTGACGGCAGTGTAGAATTTTCTGATGATTTTGTTGTGAGTAATTGATAATTATAATAGCTATATGGCACAGATGATGATGATGACAAAGGAGAAGGAAGTGATGGAGTAGTAGAATTTACTGGAACTGTCACTGCTGTTGAACCTACAGCGATGTTGTAAGAGGCTAAATACGGATAATTTGTTGATATTGCTGATGTTGGCTGTTGCTGCCTGTTGTTAAGACGATCGTAAGTTCCATTTGTGGAAGATAAATGACCACCATAGTAGGGAATGCCGCCATCAATGGGGTTGGACGAGGACGACGAAGGTGGTTGTATTTGATTATGACGGTACTGATGATAATATTGTTTTTGCTGTTGTTGCTGTTCAGATCCAAGTGGTGAAAGTCTACGAAGGTGGTTATGCTGCTCATCCCAGTGACTGCCCCCCAGAGGTGCAGCGGGCTTAATAGGCCCACCACTACTGCTGAAGCTCTCAATCAAGGCAGCCAAGTCCTCCTGTTGGTGATCTTGGTCATCAATGCCTGATACAGCAGCAAGTAAATCATCAAGACCACCAATTGTGGTGGTTGGATCGTCATCTGTCTGTTGTGTCGTGGATTCCCACTTTTGGTGTTGTTTTATCATCTGATCTCGCTGTTCGGTTTGCACTTGGCATGTTCCTGTTGGAAACAAAACATCCAATTTTATTAAGGATATAAACAATAGTAAACGTAAATACTGCATTGAGGTGATTAGATATAATAAAATTGTTTAGCCCCTAACGAATGAAATACCTTTTACACGTTGTAACAGTTTTGATACGTTAGTTAGCAACCGCTGGTAAAAATCCAAACCCTTTGCGCACCGTTCGGATAGAACTGCGTCCGGGAGTAGTCCACAGGTCGGTGACGCCGCCACGGTTTCACTACAATTTTCTAATGGTGTTCCTCCATTGGATACCACAAAACTTTCATACGCGTCCAATAATGACGACACTAGAGTCCGGCGCCGTTGCATGGCATTAGCGAAAGCCCGCCGCTCAGGTGCAGCTCGCGCATACGCCGACCTCACAGCGTCCAAAATTTTTAGTTGGGCTGACAGGTTCTGATCAATCATACTCACCTTTTCAGGCAAACATAAACATATTATTCATTTCATGAAAAAATGAATGCAAACTTGGAAAATCGATCTTTAAAATTATGTTATAAGTTTAATTAAAAAACAACAACATATAAATTTAAAAAGAACTAGAGAAAGATTTTCATGTATTTAAATCCAAAATGTGTATCATATACTACTATATAAAATAGAACCCCCTTTTTTGTATGTATGCGCACAACTGAAAAAGAACCCAACGGATTTTAGTACAGTATTCACTAGGTCAATCAATTGGTCTAGATTCAGGGAATGTCTTAATATACAATTTATTCGTACAACTTGATTAATAAAATAAAAAAACTATTTGTGCCATACATCCATAAATACTTAAATAGCATAAAATTATCACCCCACGCACAAATTTCCCTGTCGCAGTGGCACTTTTATAAGATTTCAGACAGTGTTTCGAGTTCAACCACGGTATCAGACGCTTATTTTTTGCAATGTTTTTCCGTATTTTAATTAGCTATTAGTTTTCACTCAACGATTATTATATAAGTCATATGGCGTAATCTTAATTTTTGAGTTATTTCAGTACACAAATAACACATTAATTATCGTTGTCGATGCGCATGGTGTGGGGGAACTGCTGAGCGTATGTTTTTTGATATCTAATTTGTTGGACCTAATTGAAAATGTTTACCCAGATTTATCTAATATTTCAAATAAAACGTTAAGTTGGTTTCAAGTAAGGGCAATATTGTCACCAACTAACGATCAAGTCAATAAAATAAATTACATGATACTGTTAAAATTCAATGCACCAACAAAAGTGTACTATTCCGTTGACACTGTTTTAGATTCAAAGGAGGCGATAAATTATCCAACTGAATTTTTAAATTCTTCATCTCCTTCAGGGACTCCACCACACAAATTAATTCTAAAGGTAGGTTCTTCTATAATTTTACTTCGTTACTTAAGTCCGCCAAAATTATGCAACGGTACAAGATTACAAAAAAAATCTTTAAAAAACTGTCTGCTTAAGTGTATAATCCTTACTGGCTGTGGAGGGGAGTAAATGGTCTTGATTCCTAGAGATACCAATGATACCTACCAATTTGCCATTCCAGTCCAAACGGCTCCAATTTCCCGTGAAATTAAGCTTTGCAATGACTATAAATAAGGCACAAGGTCAAACATTAAACGTTGCAGGTTTAGACATAACCGTCCAGTGTTTTTCCCATGGTCAATAGTACGTAGCTCTTTCACGTGTCACATGTAAACAAAATCTATTTGTGCTGGCCTCAGAAGACTAGACACTTAACGTGGTGTATCCAGAAATATTTAATGGTAAAAACAAATTGATATGATTGACAAAAAAATAAAAATCATACATCATACATCATAACGAAACAAATATATTCCACACTTATATATACAATTATACTAAAAAAAATAATCAAATTAAATATCTGATATAATTCATATCAAACTTTTCACATATTCCTAAACATATATAAATGTACTGAAATCTAGCAATGGCAAAGCATTGCCGAGTCAGCTAGTATATATGTATAAAATAACAGGCCTTATTTATGTACCAATTCTGTGAAGACGCTAATAGACTTTTTTCCAATTTTTTTTACAGAATTGTTTCAACTACCTTCCTAAGTGTCAACGTGTCGCCCGATTTTAAAAATTTCTACTTTTAAGAGTTGAAATCGGTAAAAATAAATTGTTTTCGTAAAAATTGTATAACTAAATATAAATTATACAGCACTTCAACCTGTGGGTTTCCATAGTGACATGCAACCATAACTTTTTGTCCGTCCAACTAAGTGTTTGATCGGCGTGTAAATATCAATTGTTCCGACTTGTAAAATTCTACAATCTATCTATATCTATCCAGGTATATAAAAATAAATCCCTATTTACCTTAGTAGAGGCATCACACTTATCGCTTATCATTTAAAACAGATCCATCTATCTTCTACCTATGATATAAAACAGTTATTATATCATTTCTTAGTGCTCATTTCACAGTGGAATCAAACAAAAGATTAATGAAAAATTGTGAAGTGACTTTTTTGATAAGCGTTTGTTCATCAGGTTAGTTTAAGCAATCACGCTTAAAATTCTAAAGAAACTTAAGTCACCCGCGGGCCGTCGTGCCATACAATAAGTGTATAGGTATATAATTTGCATGTTTATTCTATATATCTAACTATCTATCTATTTATTCTATATCTAATTTTCCGCTCAACTTTCTTCATTTTTTAGTGGGACTTGGTATTTTTTAAAAAATTTTTGGTTGGCGGGCAGATCAGGTTTAAGAATTCATCAAATTGAATTTTAGTACATTGCCTAACAAGGTGGCTGTCGGCTGAATTATACTTTTTTTTATTTATTAGAAAATGTACAATCTGTATTACATGACACAATAAATAAAATGACTGATATAACACTATGTACATAATAAAAATATACATGAGGCACATGATGAGAGAAATCATCCAGCGATGGTACCCTTTAGTAATTTATTTTTGTTCATTAATTTTATAGGACAGTGGTGGATTGGGAAGCTTGGATAGTGCGGACTTGGGAAGGTTTGGCACATCTCCAGATTTGCATACCGTAAGCCCGGATGGGTCTGAGTAGAGATTTATACAATGTGGACTTTGTGTGTATTGATAGTTTGGATTTAAGAATCGGCCTGAGTAAATAAAGGCGGTAGTTAAAGATTTTACGTTTGGACTTAAGATGAGGTTCCCATGTCAATCTTTTGTCTGGTAAAATTCCCAAATGTCTTACCTGATTCAATGAAGGAATCTCGACTCCTTGAAGTTGGAGCAAGGGGAGATTGTGTTTATGCAGTGTAAGTGACACTTGAGAAGATTTATCGGGATTTATTAAGATTTTCCACTTAATTGCCCAGGTGTTTATTAAATTGAGGTGATTTTGGAGATAGTTTGAAGAGTTACACTTTAGCCGCTCATCGGCGTGTACACAATCAAAATAATTAAATATACAAATTATAATTATAACTATAGAATCATAGTTCAACAACAATATGTTTATAGAATCATTAGAATCATTTGTAAATATTGTTATTTTTTTTTTTAAAAGGAGTTATCGAAATTCAACCACTAAGAGGGTAAAAAGGGAGTTTTTATACAGCTATATAAAACACGAGCAACGCCGTGTTGGGACAGCTAGTACCTATATAATAAAAAGCGAATGTAGTTAAATGTAAGGAAAAATTCAAAATGTGTAATATGGAAAAAAAACAAATACAATAATATTTTTTATTTTTTTTGTTTTCAATTTTATACTTAACTTACATTTTATCACATTTCACCAATAGTAAATTAATAATTGTGGGATATCAGGACATTTCTTTTAATTTTTTTTTATGTAGCTTTAAAAATATATTTTGAATAGTTTCAATTGCGTAGTTTGTTTTGAAAATCGTTTTATAATATGTATGTATTTAAATTCTATTACTAGTGAGTGCTATTAATACAACATTCATCTCTATAGGTGTATTTATGTAAATAAGTAAATATACTGTATGCGCTATATATATGACATTATACAGTCGTATATGGTTTTAGACTAACTATACTTGTGTTTATAAAAATGTAATAATATATATACGCACCAGATTTCCGTACCGATCATCCAGCTTTTTTTTCACAGCCACCGTCACATCGACTTCCGATCCTCGCAGTTCTCCTAGCATATCTACATCTTCCTGACCTGCGGCTGCGGCGTCCTTATCCTCTCGGTTCATTTCGTCTCGGAGCCGGGTCAACAGTATCTGCCGCTGCTCACGCACTTCTTTCATTTTTCCAACTACCATATTAAGCCGATCCAAACGTTTTATTGATTCACGTTGCAACATCCGTAATCGACTATCACTACCATCGTCTGATTCCGAGTCTTCATTTTGGTCCGATAACTCTACCGAGTGCAGGTAAACAAATCACATTAATAGTTTATTCATTACATGACTTGATATGCCCTGGGGTAATTATACTCACCAGCCACATCATAAGACGATTCAACAGAACCAGAGGCGGCAACTTCAGACGCGATCACAGATATTGCAGGACGAGCTGGCGGTAAACGGGCAGCGAGTTCAGCTGGTGGCAATGCAAGCAGCTCCAGGTCCCGGCGACGGCGATCCCGAACAGCTCGACTCAGAGTCACCCAGCTGTCCCGTGCACGGCCTACGTGTGCTTCCCTGTACCGGGAAGCCTCGCGGCGTAATTCACGCATTCGGCCAGCAGAGTAATCATACGGACGGCCAACCGTGCGTCGATATTCGGAGTCACCGAGTTCTTCGGTCTTTGATTAATGTTGACGCCATACAAATTGTCAGCAAACACAAATATCAAATTAGTTAAATCCCAATATATATAGTAAAATGAAATAAAATAAAGTTGAACTCGTAAAAATGGACCAACTTGTCGCAGCAAATATGGTTTACGAGTTGATACAGAATCACAGAAACAAAACCGGCTAAACTTGAAATCACGTGTATATTTGGTTAACCGATTTCATAATTATAAAAATACATAGACTTATTACACGGCTATGATTACTACTTAATTTTTTTATAAGTAGTGTGGATAAGTTTATTTGTACTAAATCATGCTATCAGCAACTACTCAAGAAGTAACTAACAAATAAATAAATTATATTTTAATTTTAACCATAGATATTATAATAAGTATTAATTATACCTAATTATTTTAATGTTTGTTACACAAAATCTTTATATATTTAGATGAATCCATATTTTAAGAGTTTTAGTGTGTTGGAGAACCTTATAATAATGTAAAATAATTATAGATTATTTCCATTTCAGTCAAAATATTGTCACAAGTAACAAAGTCTTAAAGTAAAAAAAAATATTATTAATAAAAAAATATGTAATACCTTTAGAAATCTGTCTATTTCATCCAACATACCATCTACAGCCTGAACAGCAGCTGATAGCCGAACCATGTCGATGTCTAACTGGTCTTCTTCATCTGCAATAGACGATGTTCCATTCTTTTCTTGTAGCTGTTGCAACATGGCTTGGTAAGCAGCACAACAATTTAATAATTGCTTTTTTTCCGCAACAATCATAAATAACATAAAACAATATGTTGATCATAACCAACAACTGAAATAATCAATAAGAATAAATAACAACATAAAATAAAGTGCTTACTTGTGGGAGTTCCACCACATCATTCTTCTCTTTAACACCTTCACTGGATTCAGAATTTACGCCTTTATACATTTCTAAGCATTCCAAATGTAATGTGTCCGAAAACTCATTCAATTGGTCATCTGCTTCCTGACACAATGATTGCATATCTGCTTCGAGATTGCGTTTTTCTGATCTGTTACAACCATAATACAAGAAATCCAAAGGTATGATTATGTATTTTAATTATTGGTGCTAGAGTATTATTACATGTTAATTTAAACTGAACATACCACACTTAATTACTACAACCTTTTAAATTATACCATTATTATTAAAAATCAAAGTGCCTAATAAACTTATTATTCTCAATAAATCGTAAAATATTTGATAGTTTTTTTTTGTTTTCCTATAAAAGTCAACTGTTAAGTTAAACATAAAATGATAGTTTAGGTTTTTAAGAATACAACATATTTTTATTCAAATTAAGTAATCAATATATACATTATGCAAGTGGATAAGGAAAAAACCAAAATCAAATATAATGTTAGTTTTATATTTCATAGAATCTACACAAAATTTAAAAAACATTTTTAAGCTCTTTCAAAACGATGGTATCATTAATACATTCATTAATGAATTTTGTATGGAAATGAACTAGTAATGAAAAGTGATCGTATGAAGTTTATATTTTATAAGAATTAACACCTATAAAGTGAGCTAACCTTGATGAAAAAAATATAATCAGTTAGCCGTGACTTACAAACGTATGGAATTTAGTAATTATATTAACTATTATGTTCTAAAATATGATATAGATTCATCAAATTGGTGTCTTATTAAAAACAACTACTGATTTGCATATGTATTAAGAAATGATAAAGTAAATATATTACTTTTTTCTGATACTTTAAAAATTAAATTTATAACAATTCAAATGCCATAAATCTAAAACAAAGTGAAGTAAAATTAAGATCAATAATATTGAATTTTTAGACAAAATTAACTGATTTGACAAAAAAAAATGAATACTTTTCATGACTCAACACATATAATGCCTAATTATTATATTATATAAGGAAATAATTGGAGATCTAAATTTTATTAAACACTTCAGAAATAAAACATATTTTATACTTAAATATTTTCAATAAAATTAATAGTAAGTGCGCTTTTTAATTAGATAAAATTACACCAAATTTAGAAATAAAAAAATTCAGATTTATCCCAGAAGAATTGTAATTTTGTATGGAAATTCTATATTTTTAATATGTAGTACTCGTAATTCATCTAACATGTCTAAGGATAGATTGGTTAAATTATTTATGAGAAACTGTATCAGAAATAAAATATTGTTAACTCAATAGAATACCAACCGGTACATTGCGGCTCGGTGGCGGGTAACTGTAGGCACTAGATCCTTGAATAATGAAGTAGTAGTAATACTAGATGATTCATTATTATTGGTGACCAAAACAACAGCCAATAGTTCAGGATCATCAACACCAAATGGTATAGGCTTGACCAGAGATGCACCCTTGACCCTATCTAATTGGTGATGATGAGTACTGGTTTTTGTTAAGGTATTTCCTAAACAATCACTATCATCATCATCTGACAGCACAGGCACCACAGGTTCATGATAGATTAGCTCATTTTCTGACTTGGCTGCTCGCCACTTTGCCGCAGCCACATCCATTGCAAATGATAAAGTGTCTCTGCGCATCTCCAATTCCTTAACAAATTAAAATAATAATGATAATTATTATTACTGTTATCATAGTAGACATTTTTAATGATTCATACTAACACACAACAGTAGTAGTTAAAATAACAGTTTTAATAGTACACGTGTCTAGGCACAAAGTATGATGAATTATACAAAATAAAACTAGGATTACTTCAAACAACATAACAAAAACATATTTTACTACTGATACCAGCAGTGGCGAACTGAACTTAAATTTTAAAAGAAGCATTTTCATAATTAAAAACTTACCACTACCTCAATAATCCCTCCACCCATTTTACCTTACAATAAAGTTATGATGTAAATGAAATGTGGCTAAAAGAGCCAAGAGTTCAGGCTACAGTGTTTAATTCTGAGCCACAGTCCCTTAAAAAGTTTGAAGCAGCTGCGTCAAAATTGAGCCCTTCAGCCAGCTACTGGGTACCAGTGTACCACTATTAATTATTATACATTAGATATATACAACTAAAATATGAGCCCTGAAATAAAAAGTGGTAGTCAATTAAAAGGCACCACATTTTAGGAAAAAATTAGTGTATAATATTAACATAATTAAAATATTTTATTCATTGTTATATTAAATCATTAATACCTAAATGTACTATTAAATACTATTTAGGTAATATTAAAATGCACTATGTTACTATGCACTAAATGCTTTTTTATTAGCACTATGTTCAGTGGCACTTTCTGTGGTTGATTTATTTAGGACAGTTATTATTAAGCCTAATATACTAGTAAAGATTCCTTAATATAAAATAATATTTGTAAATACTAAATGATACTTTAATAACTCATAGTAATATGATTATCAATAATAATAAAAGATAATTCAGTTTTATTTGGACACTTAGACATATTTTCTGTTGAACTATTATATTAGACATATATTAGACACACATGACGGTTGATGAATAATAAAGAGAAGTTTTTATTTTATTTAAATTATGTTCGAATAATAACAATTTAAAATTAAAATATATATTATTAAAAAGTTATAAATGAGCCACCTATTTAAGAAACAACGTTAGTCACAAAATATCACAAATTGAAATATTGAGTGGAATGTGTTATCAACTGATAGACGGATCATGTGTGAACATTTGCAAAAAAAATATTCAATTTTACCACTGTAAATAATCAGTATGAAAGAGAAATAACGATGTATCACTGGTAGTATAAAAAGTTTTTTCTTGTTTTCTCCAAATTAAATTTTATTGACTTACATCGTTTCTCAAATCGGTAGTTCAAATATAATTATGTTAGTTATACATTATATTTCTATTAGTGTCGTTAAATTAAAATCTGGACAATGTCATTTAGTTGGAATATGAGAATACTTAGTATCTTTGGATTATTTATTGGATGAAAATTTGTCTATTTCACTAGATTATGATGATCACCTATACAGTCTGAGAAAAAAGATCCAAAAATGGAAATGTGGAAATGTAATATCGCAAAAAAAAAATTAGAGTAACGACCTAGCTTATGTAATATACAATATTATTTGCGCTCTAAAAATTTCCCAAGAAATTGAGTGCAGCAAATGTCACTTAAAAATACAAATGTAATTAATTTCTCAAATCGAAAGACAACAAATTTGTTCCACTTATTGGTTGTAATTACAAAAAAAAAAATGTCTTGCTGCAAATTATGGATGTGTTCATTCCAAAAAGTGGCAAATAAATTACTTGTCGAGATTTTAAAAACTACTTTAATGGTCTATCCGAAATTGTTCTTACAAACACTTAATATTTATAATACAGTAGTTTTAAATTCTGTTAAATATTTCAAATTAAAGGGAGTTTGGGAATCAAGAAGTCACATAACAGATAAAAATATGATAAGTGAAATTAAAGTTGTCATTAAATCTCACTACTCTAGTAAAACAACTAAATAATTGAACTTGGATAGAGAACTTAGTATTTACAATAATATCATACAATTTACTTAGTAATATTATGGGTTGTCAGCCTGTCTCTTCGCTCAGGCACTCAGAATCGTTTTTTGTATACAATGAATAATTTAATTCAAATTTAACGTATCCATTACAACATTATTGAAATATCTATAAACAAAAACTGTTTTGATCTATTTTTTAAATTTGTTGGTTACAACATGAACTGCTTTTGAGAAACCGTGTTTTAAATTTTCAATCTTTATCAATAAAAATTGAACATCTTATTACATTTATAACCACAAATCAATCGAGATATTTTCAAGATTTTGATGAACTTTTCAACATTTTATTATTCTAATAAAATAAAACAGTTGTTACTTATGTAGTATCTTTTGTCCTGATATTATAACAACTGATGAGGAACCTTGTATTAAATCTACAAGTATTTTGACTCAACGAATAAATAGTTCAAAGATGGTCAAAATATTTTATACAATATACGGTGCAACAATATTATAATTTATAACTAACCAAAATAGTTGGAACTAAATTATTGGCACAAATTATTTTTATACATTTTTCAATTATACATTAACACTTAAAATGAATACTTTACCAAGTTTAGTGGTACATTTACACTATAGAAAATAGATTGTCATAATCAGAATAAGGTTTTATTACATAAATTTTAAATATTTATATTTTATTCCCGGCCATAATCTTTACAAAAACATATTGTACAAGCACATTATACCGGCTACGACACAGTAACTTTATGGTGTGCGATGAAAAATTAAAATTATCTAATACTACTCTATGGTCACAAAGTGTTCAACATTGATTTTTCTGTTTTAATTTTAAATTCGTTTTTTGTGTTTATTTATTGCTCTAAAATGTATACTAAACAACGAAGCTCTAAAAAACCAATGAGAAAACCAGATTAATTTCTAAAATGCAACTACCCCGATCAAACACAAAATTATTGTAAGTTTTTTTATTAGTTTATCATTTGTTGTACTAACAAATACAATTGATAATCAATCATTACATTTTTTAGACGTAAAAATGGTACAGATATTAGTGATATAACTAATACTGAAGTCTTGTAAGTATCAAATTATAATTATTAATTTATCCTTAACCAGAGTGAGAAGTTTTTTTGAAGTGTGAAAAATATACATGTACTGAAACTGTTCATTCTACTAAATTTTAATAATTCTAAAATTATTTTCAATAGCATTGGAGCTGATAATAATGACTAAAATACATAAGAAAACACTCATATTTTTATTTTAAAAATATGTATAGCATGTATGTAAGTACATACACAAGTACCTAACAATAATTTAAATTACAGATAATTATTTATTTATGTTTTTAAATAGTCATTCATACACATCACCAAAGATATCCTAGCTGTGGTCTCAGGAAGAAAATGCCATAATAGAAATTAAGTGTCCTTACATTGCTTGTAATTCAGAAAGCCTAATCGAAGCTTTCAAGAACAAACTTGTAAGTGTAGGTAAATGGTAAATACAATTTTATTTCCGATAGTATTTATTTAATTCAAAACTATCAATAAAAAAAATATTTTGATACTACAATACTTATACATATAATTAGTACTGGTAACAGTTGATATCATGCTTTAACGCATGTTACAGCTACCAAATTTGACAATGAAAGATTCATTGATGATACTAAAATGAGTAAAACGCAATGGTAACTATTATTATCAAGTTATTGGACAATTGCATATTTCTAAATGAATAATGCTATTTGGTAGAACATACCAAAAAATAAAAAAAATGTATTATGATCATTCTTTTTGGATGCAAATGTCTGAAAAAATAATATCTTAAGTAGGTATTTTAAAGTACCAATACCAAGATACAATTCTATCTAATTAAATTGATAATGACATGAATTCGTATTTTAGGTTTTATTTAAATTGTCTCTGGCCTGAGATCCCGCATAAGATCCCTAATATGGTAAAAGATTCTTAATAAGTGACATCAGAGACCCGAATATAATTTTAGATAAACTATAAAGATTTAAAGCATTATTGTTAAAAAATTTAAAAATCGAAATATCATTATTAAACTGATTTGGTTTTAATATTTATTTAAAATGTAAAATATGATTGATTCTAAATACAATATCCATAACATAATTAGATATTTAGGAAAATTTAGGTATATATTATTCAATTCACATTGTATCTATAAAATAAAAACCAGTTGCAATGGCACCGAACGGCAACAAGTTACACACTTAAACGAAGAATTATGAACTTAGTTTTTTTATCATAATTCAAAAATATTATTCGTGTAGACTTGAAACTATAATTTATCTATATGGTTATTACATTTATATAACATTAGGGTACATTTTTTGAAATACAAAGTCAAATGCACATCATAGTTTGTCACAAGTGTTACTTTTTTATATGCATTCTCAAATGGACACATTTAGAAGTTATTGAATACATAATGACGTCTTTGAAACACGACAATGGGGATAAATTAAAATTGTACAAATGTTATAGATTTTATGACAAATGTGTTTACTTTGGAAAATTGTCGAAAATATATATGAATTATAAATTATTATACATAAAGTGAAAACGCTAAAATAATATTGAATTATACCTAAACTTGGAATTTTGATAAATGTTTATAGTAGATTTAAGTATAGAAAATGCAGTTTCATATAAAAATGTATTATTTAGAAATTGCTTTAAACATTTTATAAACTTAATAAATTTATATTATGTTTAATATTTGTCATATATTTTTTGAATAATATCTATATGTAATAAACATTATGTTATGTATTTCAATGTAAAATTATACAAGAAATTACTGAGTATACAATATTAATGTTTGCTGTTCTAGACAGTAGTAATTTTTTAGTACATTATATACAAATAGGAAATGACAACTTGAATTTGTACAATTTGATTATTTACTCATAGTATTTTTCAATGTTTATTGGTCAAAAATGATTAATTTACTAATGTAATATTCTAAACAACTTACAACATAATTCTATTTCAATACTTTTTGAACAATAACATACTACAACTAGGTACTTACATAACATACTAATATTATTTGATAATTACAAAACATATTATTGAATGAAGATTGAGCTTATGCACAACAATTTTTGTAAAATCGCTGATCTGTACAAAGTTAATGTAAATAATAGGTGGATTTGACTAGAACTGTTTCAGGTTTAAAAAATACACAAAAACTGTCCTACTTTAGTATATGTAGTAGGTACATTTACAAGATTACCTATAAGCTATAACGTAAAATGCACACTAACACAATAGATTTTCATAATATAGAAAATTAATGTTTATATATTTAGGTAATATTAATTTAGATTATTATAATAATAAATTACGTATTATTAATATGTATAATATATATAAATATGAATAATTATGTTATGAAACACCTAAAATAACACAATAAACACAAATTGAGGAAGTACATGCAGCAATAAAAATATTACGGCGACATCTGATATTGTCGAGATAAGTCACAGAAGAAGATTCAAAAATAAATAAATGTAGCTCCCAAGTTCGAGTATCAAACAGCCAGAGACAACGAACTCACTGCGTAGCTTAAACGTCAAATGCTTGCAGATCGTGAAAACACCTAACAGCACATTCTATAGGCCGTTCATTACGTTTCTTTTTAGGTGTAGCGTCCTCTTAAATTAAACATGCTGCCTAATCAAGGGATACTTCAGGCCCACACCTATGCCTTTGGTACAAGTTTTAGCTGGTATAGCACCACCTGATATAAGAAGAAACTTAGCCAGCGATGCAAAGAAAACGGAACAGGGAAATGCTATAAGACACTTGCCCCGTGGATACCAAACGGCACCAAGCAGACTGAAATTGATAAAAAACTTTTTGAAATCAATTTCAAAGCTCATAGCATTTCTTGGTCACAAACGACTTCAAAGATTGATATCATCGAGCCAAACCAACGACTTTAAAATAAGACCAATGGAAAAACCCCCACCAGGATACCGCAATGAATGGAACACCTGAAAACACTTAATAAATTAAGAGTAAGAGTTGCCTGGACAAAGAAAAATCTGTATAAATGGGGATACAATGCAAGAACCGTAGATTGCGATTGAGGAAGCAAGAATAAACGGATTAACATAATATACTAATATGCCCTCTAAACTCGGTACACATCTGAAGACTTAGAAAATACAAAATACGTGGCTATATAAATAGCCAATCAATGAAATAAAAAAGGAATATAATATAGCATCTATACCTATAAAGCCTGGACACGATAAGTAGAAGAACTAAGAAAATGTTAGATAATATTAAAATATTAAAGATCAAGTCTGTCCAATCAACTACCCAAGTAGTTTCAGACAAATGTACAAAAAAGAAAAAAAAGACCTTATTAAACTTCGATCATTTGAGTTTCAATACTTTCAGATTTTTATCATTGGTATAATGAACTTCAAACTATTAAATAAATGAAAAAAAACTACCCACACCTGCTATTGGAAATTCTGAAAATTCCGAAAACTCTACTTAATAACTTAATGTTCGCAAATATTAAAATGTTTGCCTTTTAATTGAGTGCCAATAATATGAGTAGTCGGTATTATTAGTATATTTTTTTATTAACTAACACTTAATAATAATTTATGCTAATAATAAGTGTATGTTATGTTGGATTCTATTCTACAAGTTTACATGTATACAAATTAATCAATCCAAGTTTAGAGGATGCCTCATCCGCATGTTTTGTATCCGTCTTACACGTTTGTAACATTGCAAATATAAGCTCAGCAGATCATGTTTAATTACATCAGCTTAAAAATTAAAGTGAATCTAACTATTATGAAACTTGATGATAAGAAGTAAGAACATTATATGTGTTCATATGATGGTTTTTTACAATAGTTCAATTTTTTAGCAAGTTATGAGTATAATATATAGTGTAAATTAAAAATGTTCATAACTCACTAAAAATTAAACTATTGTAAAAAAACCATCATAAGACCACAGATAATGTTCTTACTTCTTACTATAAAGTTTCACAATAGGTAGAATCACACTAACTTTTAAATTAACAGAATTAAACGTGATCTGCTGAGCAAAAATTTGCTATTCTACGCGTTTGTAAGACAGATACAACACATGCCGGGGGGGGTGCTTTATTAACTTGGATCTATTAATTTGAATATGTTTAAACTGGTAGAATGGAATCCAACGTAACTTTATAAATAGTCATACTTTGGCAGCTGCAGATCGACCATTACCATGACGCCCATGCTCTGATTCTAAGTAATAGTAGTAGTCATCATCTGCCGAATCTTCATCTTTCGAAATCGAAGCCACCATCTTACTACCACTTTCTGAAATCAAACCAGCCCGGCCCAACAGATTCACTGCTCGCCGGTAATATGACACACGGGTCCCCATTTGCTGCAGCTGATCCTGAACGTGTTGGCCCTGGAATAGAGCAGTTACAGCACCATAATATCGACACTTGAATTCGGAGTATAGTCGCCACTTCTATAATACATTAGATAATAGTTTGTGAACCAATAATAAAAACACACTCTCAAGCCTTTAGCAGTACTTGAGAATGACTACTGAGTGTAATACTACAGCCTTACTTACCTCTAGCCTGTTAGTGCTTACGCAATATGGCTCACGTTCTACTCTTTGAACCGCATCCACAGCTCCAGCAAAATACTCACATATCATGGCTGATACTTTAGCTACATTAATAATAATATAAACATATATTTAAAATACACATACAATAGCAACATAGTAACCTATTTACAAAACAGGGTATAACAATAAGATATAACAAATTTAATTACTTTTGTTCAACTTTTTGACTTGCGCAACATGGGAAATATAACATTTTATTTTTTTATTTTTTAACACAGAAAATAAAAAATTTAAAATAGCTAATTCGTAAATCAGATGTTTAAAAAATGTTGTTTGTAAAAACATGTATTCAAGTCATGTAGTATAGGGCCAACTGGGATAAATGTAAGCATGTTATCATACTTCTTAAGTTGTTGAGAAAAACACATTCTGATTGAAATAATACATTGTACGTTTATTATTCTTCTATGATTGTTGTCAGAACAACATTTAATTTGAGATTAGGTAAATAAATATTATTTATCGAAACACATCTTTAATATATTTTTAAAATCATATAATATACATTATATTTTGTACTACCTATATACTATTATTAAATTCTTATAATAAATTTGATCAAATAGTAGAAAATATTTTTAGTTTAAAAAGTAAAATCTTTTTTTAAATATTATATTAGAATTTAAATAGAGACTTGTTAAAATCTAAATTGTTTTTAAAAAAGACTAATTCTCAAATGATTGAGCTATTTAAAAAATGTTGACTTTAACTCGTTGACTGCCATGTGGCCGCCGGCGTCCGTATAAAAATAATTATGTATTGATAATTTTTAGACCGCCGGTTGCTGCACTTTATCATTTGTTAAATTTAATTAGATTTATATTATTACCTTTTTGTGGAGCTACAATAATGATCTAGAAAATGCGCAGTGGCATAGCAAGAATAAATGCAATTTTTTGATGTATAAAACATAATTTTAACATTGTTTTTCAAATTCCATAGTATAGATACAAATTTATACTGACACTGAAAAATGAACTTGGCATAAAAATAATAAATATTCTTAAGACTGCCAGCGGAAGCATGACAGTCAACGTGTTAAAATATCGTACAAAAATTAACCATTTGCCTAAGATAATTTTTACAGTCAAACGTTTTCTAAACTCTGATTTACAAATTGGCTATCTTGAATTTTTCAAAAAAATTTAAATCTAATTTTTTATTTTATTTTTAATACTGAAAATTTAAAATAAAAAATGTTATATAATACATGTAACCCAAATGTTGAGGAATACAATTATATATAAAAAAAAAATTTTAAATGTCAATTAGAACAAGTTATTTAATTTTTCAGGTCTTCTGTTACAGTTATACCCTGATTACAGCTTCTTAAAAATTGGAATGCTGGCACATTTCAATCGTATTATTTTACTTATACAATAGAATTTATTTCTACGCTATTATTGTTATTACCTATTATAAGAGATTTTCGGCCATCCATCATACTTTTCTCTAGTATACACTCTTGTGCTTGTGCTAGTGTCACATTGAATGCAAATTCAAGAACTGCGCGGCTTGTAACTTGTGGCTGCTGTCGATGGTTCCACTTCGTTTGTTCATTATTGGATCCATCGCCACCCAGCAATTGCTTTAAATAAAACAGATACAATACAATAAATATACTAGCCCAAAACACATACAGGATACAGATCACTCAAATATTTTGAGTATGTCAGAATATGTGGTTATTGCATAGAAAAATACCTGAAAAGCCCATGCAGCACACTGCAAGTGTGTGCAAGCTATCTTGAGAGCATTATTTGGTGGAATTTCCACATCAATTGTTGGCACGTTAGAAGATACTAATGGTGGTGACCTGTCCTGTGCTGCAGCCAGCCGGCTATGAGCTGCGCCCACATTGTACAGCACGCATCTCATTTCATACCCGATATTTCCACTATCAACTACTTCTGTGGAGTCGATATCATTTTTCACTTGATGTTGCAGGTTTGTTTTGCCACCAAGAGCTCGTTTCCTAAATATTAAATAAATGACATGAAGTATTAAAACAGAAGATTTAATATGGAAGTTTCATGTCATAAACAAAATAAGTACTTAAACTTAAGGTTGTAATTACCTATATATATATGTGTGTATATATATAATATATTGTCTATAAAATACAAAAAGTGAATTTACTTGTAATAACTTATACTCACCATTTAAACATCAGTGGTTTTGGTTCTCTAGCCTTGGAAACCTCAACGTCATCAGGAGATTCTTTTAGCCCAATACTTTGTTGCTGCATCAGTTTAGGAAACTTATCTGTTAATCTAACAAGGTGTGCATAGTAACGTTTTAATGCTGTACACTCTTCTACAGTGCAAACAGATGACATCACAACGTCCATAGCAGATTGCCTGAGTCTAAGTAATGTGTCTATGTCAGCAGAATACATACTGGGATCTCGGTCATATGATTTTTGTATTTGCTGCATAAAATATTAATTATAAATAATACATGCCCACAATAGCTTAAAAAGTGGACAATTTTAAATTTTAAATTATACTTATTATTTTATAAGTTCTAAAACTGGCATGAATTGACATGTTATAAAATAAAAAGGTTTATTATCTAAAATACCTCTGGGGCTTCAATTGATATTTTTATTAAAAAGTAAATTATGACTTTTTTAAAACTAGGTATACATTTTAGATAGTCATAAGCATAACTTACTTAAAAATAATAGTATCAATAAAATCCTTCAAGATGCCATGGATAATATTCTTACCTTTAAATTTTATCATTGGTCAATTCACTCTAATTTAGAAATAACATTGTAAAATGGATTTATGTGTATGTAAAATTAGCTATGTTGTATGATTGAAAGACAGAGACAATACACGGGAGTTGCGTCATTTTAAAGGATGACTAGTATTTTAATTTTTAATTAATGTACTAAGTATTACAATTTATATTAACGTAACAAACTAATTGTTTTTTTTTACTTGACTAGTATTTTTATTAATTGATGGTTATGATGATAGTGTTAGGAGTATGTTATTATTATACTATTAGTAAACTGAACTTTTAAACTAAATGTACCTATTCAAACATTTTATAAATTTAAATCCAATAAACCTATTTAAGTCAATTTTAAAAAGATTGAAAACTTTACTTTGTTAAAAGCTTTAGGAAATTATATTGCTTAAAATATAATTATTTATTCATTAATTTACTTTAATAGTTTATAATATTATAACCACCACTTATACCTATCATATTTTAGTTTAAGGTACTCTATTTTAAGTATATTAACTTGTGATGTGCATGAATATCAAAGTAAATAAATAAATATAATAGAAGTTTTACATATTGTTAAACTAGAATAGGTAGTCGTAAAAAATAATAATAAAACAATATGGTCAAAACATTAAACTCGGAAATTGGACAAAAAATATTTCTTTCAGTTGTAATATGCTAGGTACTGGAATATTGATACATTTTGTAATCATAAAATATAGGAGTGCATTGAACTCAGAATGATTGTATTTAACATATAAGTTATTTTTCTTAGTTTTAATAATATTATGTATATAATTTAATACTTACATAATTTAAGGCTGATGAAAAATCAGGTGTCTGGTTGTAAACACACCGTTTTGCTGGCATGCCAATCATATACAACCGTGGTACACCTTCCATTTTGGTTCAGTTACGTGTTAATTGATGAAAAATACTGTTCTATTAACTGCAAGTAGGTATTCTTCATAAATATAACAGTGTCAAACCTTCTATGCGTGCTCTTACCACTGTAACTGTGATTACCTATACTCACAGTAGAAGTAATAGTAGTAGTCACACCTATGTTCACAGAGAACATACATCGAAATCAATAGCAGTAGCAGAAGGTTACCGCTACACACATTGATTGTTACAACCCCAAAACGCTCTTGACTGTCGCCGTTCTAGAACAGCATTTTAAAAATTATACACTTATAACAATTACTTTCACAAATTGTCTGCAAGAAGATAAAACACTCATTATTACAAGTACATCTGTACTTGTACTAAGTCACCTCCGCCGCCCTACTTCAACAATACTAATGTCGATCGCCATATTCACATGTAACTGCAATCAAGTGTACTTATCGGAACTCACTTACTACTATTTACCAATACACAGAACAGTGCGCAACGGCCGCGCCCGTCTCTCTTTTGGATTACCGACAGTCCCGGATGGCGGATAGCACGGAGGAAAGCGACCGATCACCACGAATAGCGAACGAAATAATCACAACAATCGGTAAAGGTAAAACACGGTAATCGGTTATTGGTAACGGGATGCAGGAAACGCGAAACAAAACGTGTCAGTCGATTATACAGACGTCGCGATAATTATTGTAAATTTGTATAATATAAGCAACTGGAAAATCATTTGCGATGTCGACGACGACGGCGGATTAACACCACCACGGTTGCACCTCGTTCAGTGGCTGCCGTTACCACATCGATTAGCCGATTACGTTATCACTGCGGTCTGCGATAACGCACGGTGGTAAAAATTCAATATAATAATATTATTTTATTGGCTTACTGCTCATGCGTAGTCTAGAGTGTTAGGATCCGGGATTATACGTCGTCACAGCGATAACAACTTTCTTTGATTTATTCTTTCGGACGAACAGATTGACACTCGAATCTACCTCCACCCATTGAAAATTTAAACTCTATTTGATAATATTTATAAGTATACTGTACTATAAATCATTACATACTAAATAGAATTTAATGCTTTCGTCAGAATTCACGTCACGACACAAGTCGCGCTAGTTAAAGTGTGAAACTGACACGAATCAGTACAATTTAAGTAAAATACCTACTACAATACTTCAAAGTATGCAGGCTGACACTGGACTCTGCCCCCACTACTAAAACTGTTTTGTTGTTCGAGTTTTGAATTATTTGTTCTGGCATTAAGTCATTAAATTGACTAAATAAATAGCAATGACGATCCCTACGCCGATCAATCCACACAAACGGCAAATATTTGAAATAAGTTATTATTTTACACATTTTCCTAACGTTGTGAAAGAACTAACTCACCTAATATTATTTGATATAAACTAACACGTAAAATATTCAGTAGTGTTATAACTAGGGTTAGAATATTCATACACTAAAAAATGTATGAATTGGTATGTAATATGTATGCACTTATGCACTAAAAACCAACTAAATATGCATGAAAAATTTGAAAAATATGCATTGAAAAATAAAGAAATTCTTGGACAAGAAATACATTTAACATAATATAGATAAATTTAAGAAACTGAAAAAAAAATTAAGTAAAAAAAAATTAAAGAGAATAAATTTAATAATTTAATTTCCAAAAATCACGAACAATATTGTTGTTGACCTTATTTAATGGTATGTTCGATATTAATTGTTGTTTTGTTTACTTAATCTAATATGTTTAGCGGTGTTCATAATGTTCATAAGCTGTTCAATAGTAAACCAACATTAACTACCAACCTTAACTTCGCACAATTTGCAATAAAGGATCCAACCATCCGTAGTTAAAACGTGCTCTCCAAATTCTTTTACAAAACCTCTTAGTCGGTTAGTACCTACTTAGAACAAGAGGTTTTAACTTTCGGCGAAACTGAGTGGTTTAATATATCAAATAGATACATAACAAAACACGAAACGAGCAATATATGGTACTCTAAATCTAACGTAGACAAGACGGCAACTATAAATTATTAAACGTTCTGTTAAAATAGCTGATACAATTGTAATGGCTCGCTGTTTTAAGATAAGTTTTGACTATGCCAATTGACAAGGGTTATTGAAAATTCTATTTAAGTAGGTACAACCATATTGAACTCTCAACAATAAATAAGTGATAATTTATGAAATACAGATAATCAAACTTCTATAAGATTCAGTTAATGAAATATAAAATAACGGTATTTTTCAGCATTTTGCATCGAAAATCGTCAAATATACACTTAAAAATAGAAAAAACACAAATTATGCACTTATAAATAAATAATGGTAGGTAAAATATGCAATTATATGCAAAATAAAATTTTGATATTTTTAATATAGATGTCATGAAACATATTTTTGTATAAGAATGGATGCTATTGGACAACCTAAAAAGAATATGCAAAATCATAAACATTCTAACCATAGTTATAACTGTTTGAAGGTGACTATCTTCATAGCTTATTTTAATATCAAAAAATGTCTAAAACTCCAGCTTGAGTAGGTATGTTAATCTAACAGATAAAGCCCTATGGTAACGCCTAGGTATGTCAAAGGCCAAGAGGGTAACTTATATATTTTCCCTATACTTATTAAGACATTTTGAAATAATTTCATTGCTCAAGATTTCAAGAGGACACCACGCCCGCATGTGTTGTCACTTGTCTCCGTCTTAAAAAAGAAGTGCGTAAATTGACGATCAGCAGATCACGTTTAACTCCATTAGTTTATAAATTAGAGTGAATAGACTTATTATGAAACTTTATCGTATAAGAACATTATCTGTGTTAATATACGTTGGTTTTTACGATGGTTAAGTTTTTAGCAAGTTATGAACTTATGAGTATATAATAATAGGTATTCATGTCGTATGCAGTCTACCGCACACTTGTCGTCTACCACGTATGTTTCTACACGTCATATGTGGTCTACTGCCTTGCATCTATATATATATTTATATTTTAGGTCATTCCCGTTGATCCGACGGCGGCATTCAACGACTATTAAGCTTTATCTTAACGATTTATAATCGTAAATCGTAAACGTATGAGAAAATCAGTTACAGTTTAGTTTGTGTCGTTATACGTGATACATTATTCTGCAACATTGATAAAACGCATTTATGCAGAATCACTTTTTTTATGCTTTTAAGTTATCTTCAAGTAAAATCACTTATCACAAAATCGATATAAAAACATTATTTTTGAGAGAATGTCATATCGATTTGTCTAAATATTGTCTCAAAACTAATTTACAAATTATTTATTTTTATTTTGTTAGTCCTACTGCAATTTCCCTACATATTTTAATAATATAATATAGCGTAAATTATTAATGCTCATAGGTAACTCACATTAAAATTGAACTACCATCTATCTCAGGGATCTTAGACTCTTCAGATACAGACTGCATTTAATTCCATGTATAGGTAGGAGGTAGGTAGCCACTTGGAATGTTAAAACGTTACAATTTTTTTTTTAAGTGTTTAAGAATATATTTGAACTATTTTACTGTTTTTTACTAATTTAATAACTATATTAATGTACACATTATAGCCTATAGGTTTATATTGATTGATTCAAAATTGTAATTAAACAATACTTTCAGTAGTGCCGATCACTATGTTTGAGTATATTGTGGAATGCGGACGCAATACCTGGCAGTCGATGGTAAAGTCAGTACTCCGTATGACGGTATAGGATATAATATTAGATATGCATTATACAATAGTTATAGATGTTTGGATAAAAGTAGTAGGTACTTACATGCAATTTGTCCCGTATTTAAATCTAACATATCCACTAGTACCTAGAACCTACCTCCTACTTCAGATTTTATGTTTATGCAATACCATTTGAAAATTGAAACTGACATCGGCGCTATACTAAATACCTACTTTTGCCCAAAAGATACAAATTATTTCTCATGGTTAAGTAAACAATTTTTTTTTATACTTAAAAATGTGTATACAACAAAATAGTACCTAAATATAAAAAATTAAAGCAAACATAGAATTCACTAAAAAATAACAATAGGTATCTTGAATTTTGAACTCAAACCTGAGTCAAACTACAACTTCAGTAAGTACATAGCTCTTAATTCAAGAGTTTAATCGGCTTTTTTCATTACCTACATTAATGTTGAATCACGAGTAGTCAAAAGATAGCACATGTTTTATGAGAACTCACGTTTCTAAAAAATATTATTGAGGAGACAAAATTGTACTTCCCATATCCAGCATAAAATTAATTGCTGTTTTCAAAAAATAACCAAATTCTCTAAGTCACCAGGAAGCGTGATTGACGGAAGGTCAGTATTCTGTAGTACTAGCCACTAGATGTCTAGGTGCGTACTCAGTTCTATTATCATTGGTTTAGGTATGGGGGACCTCTCAAAAGTCTACTAAGCCCTTATGTTAAATCAAGTATATGCCTTCAACAATTTTCTACAATTATTAAAAAATATATTGTGAATTATTTTTGCGATGATACTCGATAGATGATAAGAATATATGATAGAACATAAATACAGCGACGGTAAAAATATTATTGAGTCGTGTTTAAATACTGCAATATAAAATGTGGTTAGAGAATAATGTAACCCGACAGTGTAATATTTTACCACAAACTAATAAATTAATATAATATTAAACCAAGCTATGACTAAAATATAACTAAAATAAATTATCGTAGAAACATGAAACTTTCACTGAACGTATATATTAGAATTTTCTATACCTACACCATACATTTTAACTCATATTGAAATGTGAAAATATTGTAGTAAATCGGCAGTCATTTTTTATGAGCGTCTGAATTTCAAATTTTGACAAAATACGTAAAAATCACGAAAATTTGCAAATTATTTTTAGTTAGGAATTTATAAAGATTTTTTTTTTAAATCAAAGATTTGAAAATTTAATACATGTTTTCAATTCATTTTTTTTTTTTTGAATATTCACTCGAATTCTCATGGAATGATTATCTTATTTTGTTGTAATTGGAAAACAAATAACCGTAGATATTTAAAATGTACACAAAATGTTTTAAAAATGTTTTGATAGATTTTAAATTTTAAACTTTTTTTTCTTTATAAATGTCAATACAATTTTATGTGTGAAGTAAAACAGAGTAGACATTTTATACAAGGCTTCTGATATTATATTAATACAATATCAGTTCAAAAATATTTAAAAAACATAGACATGACTTTTTTTTATAAGAATTTGAAGTTCAAATTTTGGCAACATTTATTGGTTTAACATTTCAACATTTTTTTATATTCAATATTTTTAGACATTTTCAACTTTTATAGCTAAGAATTGAAAATGTAAGCTAAGGTTGCATGTAAGTAGTTAATTCTGTAGAAAAAATTTAACAAATATATTAGCACAGTGTTTTTTTATAGCTATTTTAAGTTTTAATTTGGACTTAATTACATATTGAAACCAATAATAACAATTTTTGTTATTTTGTTGTAAATAAAAAATATTATTTGTAGTTACTTTACACTTTTAGAGTATATTATATTATACTAACAAAGATTTTTCAAATTTAATTTTTTTGGCAAAGATTAATTCAACCTATTGTATTACTAATGCCTAATAGTAAAATAAATGAGTTCAATCACAATAATATCATCAAATTACCTAAATTACTAAGTAATATTATTGGCTGACCCACTTCGCTCAGAATCGTTTTATGTGTATAATGATTTTACAATTTATAACATTGAATTCAAATGTAATACCTAAATTACAGTGATTCATTTGTAACCTACTGTACAGCAGAGTGATACTTACTGCTTTTTTTTTGTATTGTAAACTTAATTAATAGTAATTAATAGTAATCTATCATAAATTGTATTTATAGGTGTCAAATGTTAGAAAACTGCGTTAACATGATTTCTGAAAAGATCACAAAATAGATGCTCTTAATTCAGTTTGGTTAAAATATATATTTATAATGGCACAAATAAGGAAAAAAACAGGATGCATACATTTGTATAAATGCATTATTATATTTTTTAAACAATGGCATTTAAAAAATGAGTTACAAATAACCTAATATAATTATCATCATTAAATGTATAACAATATAAGTTTTACCACAAACTAAGATTATATATGGACTGGAAACCATAAGGCTGGAGTGTATTTTTGTGTTTATTGATTACATTTTGTCATGGTAGTTTTGTGAATGAGGAAATCTAAGAGATAATTTGTTGTTCAAACCTGGTGGTTTTTAACTCATTATTATTATTGTCATAGATATAACTTGAGCAATTTTTATGCGGGGCTTTATAAGCTTTTTTTTATTTAGATAAACAGCATACTTATATACTTATCAAAAATCAAGCACTTAGGTAAATATTTTTTCATGAATCAAGGTGTCAACAATTAAATTTGAATAAAGAATGAGATCAGTATTGGCTGTATTATTGTTTATTTTTGTATATATAAGTACACCGAAAATAGAATCAAGTATCTAAAAAAATTTCAATTAAATAAAATAAAGAAAAAATATAATTTTTTAGTGTAATATGGTTGGTTAATTTTTTTTAGAGCATATTTAACTGCATATTTGATGAATTTTTAGTGTAATATCTTTGTTCTATCCATAACATTATAAATATATAATATATAATAGTATGATTATTATGTATATCAAAAATAAATTTTATACTTAACAAGTAAATACAATTAATGATTAAATTAATAACAGTATTAAAATGTTATACTTAATATTATAACCTTTCAACATTCTAATATTTTATTTTAAATTTAAATGCCAATAATTGATATCTCTTCTTCTTTTTGTTAAATCTGCATTAAACTGATCAATAATTGTATCAAAATTAATCTTAAGTCTTTTAAATATATACAATAGCCATGATACTAAGTATTTCTTGGCCAATGGTGTATTCGTAAATGTGTTGAGGTAACAAAGAAACCAATGCAAAACTCATTGGAATGGATAGAAAAAATTTATGAATATAATATGTGTTGTCAAATTAACCAATTAAGTCTTTGACATATACAAATTTCAATGGACTTCAAAATGTTCAGTAATATTAGTTGATGAACAAAATTTTTGATATAGCTTTAATTCTGCTTTTAAATAATCTAAGTCAATACTGTTGAAGTTACAAATGTCTAATATATCTTCATCTCTCTAAATTTAAGTTTCACCTTGGATTTGTTTTTACTCAAGAATCATTAAATTCGGTTATCATGACGTATTATGCGGCAAATGGTAATGATAACAATTTTTTGTTATTTTTCATTAATTTTTCCAATAGTTAATACTATCTTAGACCTTAGTACACGGTTACTATAGAGTTATAGGATATTTTGGGATGGTGCTCTAATAATATAGATTCCCGAACTATAATATTTAAGGTGACATTTTCGCCACACAATTTTAGCCACTATTTCCAAGTCTATATGATCTTAGTTTATAGAATGACATATAAAAATATATTTTGAAAATAAAATAAATATGGCTATAAAAATTAAAAATTAAAAGTTAAATATTTATTTATAAAATAATCAGTTATTAAAAGTTATAGGTAATACAAATATATGAACTGAATAATATTATAGCAATAGCATTTGCTGAATGGTAAAATAGTTATAGACGTATATTATCTTAGTAGTCTTCTTTCCCCTGTTATACTACATACCACTCTATAACTCACTATAGCACCAGTATAGTTCTAGTTGTTTCTAGTCTAACCATTCAATTATGCACTCACGTAGTACCTTTTCATTATGATGCCATTCGTGATGACTGACTCCCGGCACAGTATACTCTACCAATCGATCTGTCATATCTAGCTGATGTAATCCAATTGGATCATTATCGCTGTACACGTCATCTTGTCGTCGCTCCCGCATTGGTATCAGTTCACCAGAACCATCAAGTACGGCAAATTGACTGTAAAACGTAAGATTGATAAATATGAGTGAAAAAACTACATATTTTTTGTATAATTATAATGTAAATAATAAGTACCTGGATTGCCAAGGTGAAATAACCCCATCGTCAGGCCCACCAATCAATACCAGCCGCTGCAGTCGAGTGAGGCCCAGTTTTTTTATGTTGGGGTTAGGATTATCGTCACCATTTTCTCCACAGTAGTTATCGTGGACCGAGACTTTAGCCATAAGTGTATCTACATCTGCTATAACACTGTCACCATCACTACCGTTGTAGTTATGGCTTTCAGCAATTTTGACAGTGGCAGTGGCTACTGCTGCAATTACTGCAGTAACACGATCAATAATTTTTGAAGTGTCATCATTAGTTTCTGCTACAGTTGCTGTGCTACTAGATACTTCAGTAGATATTGTTTTCAAACCATTATCATTTTCAGTCTGTTGTAAATTAAGACCACTTGATTCTTGTTGTTTAACATTATCAATGACCGCAAGATACACACTGTATTTAAGGTATAGGTCCCTATGCCTGGGATCATACCAATAGTTAGCCACAGACAGAGCCCGTTGACCTAAGCGTGTGTAGAACAACTCGTATGCTGTGCGCGCTGTCAGTGCAGGAAACATTTTTGTGAAACACTCGGCTACAAAATTATAGTACAAAACATTATTGATTTATAATTGTATTATTTATATTGTACAAATAAATATATTATACTAAACACACCAGTAGGTCGACATTTTTCTATTTTAGTATGAATCAGAAGGAAAAAACATATTTTTTGCATGTGACATATTTCTAGTTTTTGACTTTTTATACATGGTGTGTTCAGAAAAATCAAAGTTAAATACAAGTACGAGTCTTTAACCAATTAGGTTATATTATATTATTTGCTTAATCAAATGTAGTATAAAAGATACAACATAGTATAATTGTAAGTTGTAATTAACTTTCATAATGTCAACAATCATTGAATTATTGGTGTAATAAGTAATTTATATCCCTAAAAATAGTAAAATGTCAGTAAAATACTTATGAATAGATATAGGCATATAATGGTACACCACTGCATTCTCCATGAGATTAACACAAAAAACACAGGAAAAAACTTTTAACCGCAGCAGCAGCAATATGTATTTAATAAATAATAAAATAAAAACTCCTACCGCCATACTGTCCTCCTTGCGGCGAGCTAAGTGATACAAATGTCCTGACATTGTGCTCAGTACCATACTCTTCTATCATGCCTCTTGCTATGAGTCCACCTTGTGAATATCCTAGAAAATATAAGCATAAATTAATACATTTTTAGCTTCGTTTGTAGTATATAATATATAAATAATGTATACCAATATATATGCACATATATATCTACCTATAACATGCACACCCTCTGGATGTAACGAACATATTTTTAAGAGGTCATCAGCTAACTTCCTTGTCTGTCGCCATAGTGGTTCTAAACTAGCCAAACCACAAAATCTGTCTATAACATATGTTTTGGTGCCTGGATGTAACTGTTAAGCATACATAAATTAAATTATGTTAGTAACATGGATTGGCAGATTTTCAACCAGATTGTTACAATAACTCGATAATATGTAAATTATGTATATTAAGCATTTGAATAAAAATACTTTAACTCTTTTTGGTACGGCAATATTTTTAAAATGTAAAAATGTAACAACATAACCAAATACAATTATGACACCACAATTTTAAACAATTATTATTTTAAAACTATAGAATTCAATATTTGTAAATAGTCACACGAATAGTCACTTGAAATATTATGTTGTTCTTATAAGATATAAATAGAAAATTATACATCTGTTGAATACCTAGGTAACTTTAATTTAATATTTGAGATATAAATACTGATTACAATGATTTAATTTTACTGTATGTTTTTTAGGTAGATATCATTTATTAAATATTTTAAAAATACTTCAAATATATTTTTAATACGGTATTACTTAAGTATAATAAAGAATATTTAATACTTATGGTCTACATTCCATTACACATTATTAGTTAATTATAATTAATCATATACAGAATATTATCAAAGGGAATATTTCAATCTACTCACTTCAGTTATACGAGCAGCCAGACGCTCCATTGTACTGACATCACCAGTCATCAGCCCATGTACAATGACTACCGGCCTGTAAGGCCGATTTTGCCCTGACATTTTGTTGCATTCATCCAACTTGCTCATTGTCATATGAAGCACTCGTAATGATGCAATGTCGCCACTAAGCTACTACTATTTCAGGTATATACTAGCTATTGAACAACATATATAATATAATTATAATAATTCATAGTTTAACTGACTGTCACTTGTCACATATCATACTCACGTGAAAAACACACGAAGCAGAAATGTAGTGTCAACAATGTAGAAACGCTTGACAGCAGTCACAGAGCATATATTTATTCCAGGCGATCAAGTTAGTTGACTAGTAGCCAGTAGACGGAAGAATAGTGAAGTTAAGTGACCATAGTTAAGTTATCATTATTATGCATTAGTATGACTATATTATTATTATTATTTTTGTATAACAAACGTTGATAACGGTTCGGCGGTGGCTGCACAAAATTGCGTCATTTTGGTTGCCTATTTCTACTGAAAAAAGGCACTAGTACTATCGCACTTATAATATTGTAATATAAACATAATAATATAGTTTTAAGATTTAAGATATTTTACAAAATTTGTCGAGTAACCAGTATACCTTAAGGCTTAAATCGTGATAGTTTGGTTCCTACCTACCAGGCTACCTATAATAAAGTTATAAATTAAAATCAGGGTTCGAGACTTTTCATGTCTATCACAGACGTAGTACAGAGCGATATGGACAAACGTTTTATAGTACCTACCTCATAGACTTGTATGACCCAAATTCAGAGAATGTAAATTGTATTTTGCATATTTTAAAATGTTTTGATAAATGTAATGTATTGACGCATATTCAACAATTTTCAACTTTTACCATCAATATTTATGGAGAGCAATTGTTTAAAATGTATAGTTTTAATAATTAATAATATATATTTAATTATTGTTGAATGGTTATTTACAAAAACGTGTGTTGCAAATTAACGTGATCTATAGATCACTCCGAAAAATCAATTTGAAAAGATCAAAAACTATGTAGTTATCCTGGTTGTTTTAAGTAAGCCGATAATAGGAGAGCTTTAAAAATGTACCTATTTAAATTAGTTTTTTATTTATTTTTTTAAGGCAGCTGGAATGCTTATAACTATATGTAAACATTAGTTCTCACCTAGAATTGTTTTCCCACTTTAAGCCCTGAATATTATAGACATGGTAATGGAGTAAATGGTCTTAGGTTTATTTTTTTGTCTCACCATTATTACCTGTTGTTATTTTTAATGTAATTTTTGTAAGTAGTCATTAATTTTAGTCATTAATCAGTTATAACTTAAATAGGTAATATCTTAAAATCACATAAGAACTCTATTGTCTCCTGCACAAGAAATCAACACTAATACACTATGGCATGGTAAGTCATATATACGTAATGGTTTTCTTTATGTATACATTTTTGAAATTAAATTAAACTTATTAAATAAAAAAAACTTGTCATCCAAAACAGCTGCATTATCATACACATATAATTATAGTTATCGCTCAAACCAGTGATGGAAAACCTTTTGAACACTGCGTGCCCAAAATTACCCCTTTTTTTAGAGCGTGGCATGAAAAAATATTATATTTTGTTAAACTATAAATTGATTATATAATTTATGTATTAGTATAAAAAAGTTAGTTTAGGTACATATTATATAATAATATATAATAAATAATAATTATAATAATATTGCCTAGTTAATTATTTATTTTTATGTGATTTTTGTTGTTGAACACTTGATGCCAATTCGTTGATCTTTGGTTTATAATTAGTAACTTTTAATAAAGTACACGAGGCACTGCATTCATCAGTTAATCGTTAATGGTCAATAAAAACCGTAAGCTTTTTACCTACTACCAATAATATTATATATTATATATAATTGTAAAAATGTTCGCGTGCCATGGATTTGCCATTCTTGGCTTAGACCAGTGGTTCTCAACGGGGGCAATATCGCCCCCCCAGTGGGCGGTAAAATGTCACCGAGGGGCAATGAACTAGTTTTGGGTGGTAGGGGGGCGGTGAACTAATTTTGGGTGGTAGATTACCATAATACTAGAACTATAAATAAAAAATATATCAAATATAAAAAATAAATAAAAACATGAGTTATTAGATAATTTCAATTTTTTCTTTTAAATTTTCCAAATACCCTTAACCTAACCCTTATTATAGAATTCTCACATTGTAGGGGCCGTTAAAAAATTTTTTGACACTCAAGGGGGCTTAACTTAAAAAAGGTTGAGAAACACTGGCTTAGACCATATAGTAGGAGTTTTAATATTAAAAATAATAATTAGAAGTCTTAATTCAAAGCTATATCCCAAACATTCATAATTTAGGAGTAATAGAAATAAATAATATCAATAGAAATAGAAATTTTCTAAAAAATTAGTAAATCTAGTAATAATATTTTCTTATAAAGACAAAAAAACATTGATAACTCCAATGTACAATTTTTAGTCAAAATTAACGAGTTTTGTAATTTCATTAGAATTATTTTCAAATAGCTATAAGCTATACATAAACACTATTAACACTTATAGTTAGTTAAATTATTATTTATAAACCATTATTATGATTTTGTTTTTATATAATATAAAATAACATTTCTGTTAATACCGTTATTCTGTGTTCAGTGTCAGCTCATCAGTCAACAGCTTTATGCCTATATCTTGTATTCGAGTTTAATATTTTTCATGTGACATTTTTTTTTTAACATCTTTCAAAATTATACCTTATATATTATAGTGTATTTCTAGTAAGGATGCTTGTAAAATGACAATTAATTGCTTAGAAATTAAAGTAATAGTTTTATTTTTTGTAACAGAAAAGTAATGTAATAAATTTTCTATTTGAAAAGTAAAGTAATCTCATTACAATTTTATTTAAGTAACGAGTAAAGTAATTTAATTACTTTTTAAAAATAAAAGCTAAATGTTTTATGTGTATACACTGTAATACTGTATTTATCCACAGTAATTTGTATAGAAAATTAGAAACTATGGACATTAAATCAACTGTTAAACACTGGATTACTGGAATATGACCTGAGGGCATGATATAAAGTTACATAGAAAGTTAAATTATAATGATGAATTGAATAACTTCATAGAATTTAATATTTTCATAATATTGAAGGCCAAATAGGTCAGATGTAAATATGGTTGTGAACAGGAACAGATTGGAATTTCAGACTAGCCCAGGAAAATATATTTTTAGTGGCCTACTAGCAGTCATGTATTTGTTGGGAGATTGGGGCCTAGGGGTAAGTGTACCATACTAAAGGTGGTAATTTTTTTTAGTCCTTTAAAGAACTGGTAAATATGTATTGATATTTTATGATGTATTCATTGCTCCTACAAAAATGATTATATTATAACATATTAGTGAGGTTTATAAAGACAGATAAAAGATATTTTTAGTTAAAAATCAACTGTCATACTTCAAATATACATGTACTATATGAAAAATACTAGGTACAATATTACTATTTATTTATTTACTTTAACATGACGCCTTGCCAGTAGCAATATACAATATATATATATAAATATATATATATATACAATATTTTAATCATAAAATCAAACTTTAACAATAAAATATGTAATAGATTTTACTCTTCACGTACGTTGATTTTTTATTTGAGTTATTGTTATTACTTATTACTTAGTATTTATTAATTATTATTCAGTTTTTGTAATACTGCTACAGACATTATGGCAATATTTAATACTATTTATATTAGCTATTGGCTTATTACTTTCTAGTTAATTGTTTTGCTATGAGAAAAAAGTACAAGATACCAATAAGACAAAAAACCTTCTATATCTAATTATTGTTAGTTTACAACAGACTATACTGCCATGGAGTTTGGTAGAACACACAGCAGCCTCGTCAACTAGTTAATATGTGGCCTATGCGAAATTTCCCGGTGGCCCAATCGAACACTGATTGTAAACCACTAAAAAAATGTAGTTCAAGTAGTATTACAAATCAAATACTAAACTAGAATAATATGAATAGGTATATCAAAAATGTGTGATTTGATATTATATCATAAGACAACTTGTACCTAATAATATATTGAAAAAGAAAACAGTAGCCTGAAAAATATATTTTTTTTTTCAATATAATATAGTTTTAAATAACTGTTGCCAATTGTAAAAATGGATCTATTTTTAATATTGAAATTTATAAAAAGTGAAGTTCTGATACCTAAGGGCTTGGACTTGAAAATTGATTACAAAATTCCTCAACTTAATCTTAGTAATAATGGGGAACATTATTAAAATATAAGCTATAACCATAAATATTATCATTACTATTGAGTACTAATCGTGTCAAGAAAATATAATTTTTCAGTGAATTTAGCTTAGAATGTGAATTACTAGGTAAATTATGTGTAATTCATGCAAAAGTAAATTTTTAGCTTTATGTTTATTTCTAAGATATTATATTATATTATAATAAAGAATGAAATTAAAAACAAAAATTATTTTTAGATGATAAAAATCTATTGGGTATAAGACCGACTTGTATGTCGTAAAGGCAAACGGCGAGGCAAATGGTATTATACAAAATAAATAATAATATACAATTTTTAACCAGAACAGTAATTTGTATAAATATATATAATTAGTAACATTTATGTATTACCAGTTTATTTAAATTAAGTAATTAATAACATTTAGGAATTACTGAATAATATTAACATTTTACTAGTTACCCATTTTTATATGTTTATATAAGATATTGGTAAACCAATTAAATAAGTAGGTAGTTTTAAAATGTATTTTCTATACCATACAGTTGTACCTATATGCATTTTATAATTTTTATTTTATTTTGAATTTAAATGATGCAGTATCCATAGTAGTACATTACAAATATATGATTGAATAGTATGTTCAATATAATAATAAAGTGTATAATATTTCACACAATATATGAAATAGATACTTGTTCTCAAGAAATATTTTTTACATGTTAAAAGTATTTTTATGTTATATTGAAAAACAATTTTTTATATTTGTAACCATGTTTAAATGTTTGTGTATAAATAGAAGGAAGCTAGTAATAAATATTTAATAATGTGTAATTATATAGCTAGTTATAAAAATTAAACTTTATTCACAATATCAAATATTAATTAAGTAATAGTGCTTCAACATTTTACTATATCTTTAAAATGAAAAATAAATTGAATAAAGAAACACAGGCATTATTACAGAAACATACTTAATGGTTATGTCAGTCATTGGTGGTCATGATGGCATCAGACACCCGCACCCAGTCAAGTGCTGATAGCAGCGGATCTTCACGCGTTGGAATGCGGTCCCAATTCCAGTACATCAGCTGCTTAGTTACTTCACCAGCTATTGATTCAACTGCTTCTGTAGAATCATTAACTACATTACGGCTGCCGTTGTCATCCTTGCCAACACACAATACACCAACATAGCCATCGGGCATGCTGAGCTTCACACCCGTCAGAGGCTTGCCACGCAACGAAGAGTGCCACAACGCAGTTTCATCATCTGTTGCCGCTTTGGTATATGGACAAAAGTATCGATCAACTGGACCCGTCAAGGTCTGACAGTCGCTACCTGGTTTCCGGGTGTGGATTTTGCATGGCAACAGGTGTACCGCCTGTTGATCGGTTCCAACAGCACTGGCGTCGCTGTCTTCTGGCCGCCTGTGCTCTGATCGCTTTATGACGAGACGCATTGTTTGCAGTGGTTTGAAACACAACCGAAGTAAATAGTAAATAATAATTATGTAAACAAATCGTGACAACAAAGTTGGTTACAGTCGTTACAACTTACAAAATCATTTGTATTTTATCATTAGAAGATAACAACGACAGCCGGATGGGATAATGGGATCCGGTGGACTGTGGAGGTACTAACGAATACCACCTCCACTGACGGCGTGTGTCCGGTGTGTCGCGTACTCGCTTCACTTAGGTTTTTATTTCTGACGAAGACTGCGGTGGGAATCATGAGTTACGAATAGTTACTTCCAGACGCCGGTGAGCCGTGAGCTGCAGTCGTTTACAAATCGCGCCACTACTATCGTTTAGTCGTGGTAGAGCAGTATCGGCAGTTGTAGGCGCTGTTACAATACCACGACGTCCGCAGTGCCGACTGCCGAGTATCACTATCACGTGAGTATCGATAGTGACAAACACCGAGATGATAATTGATAACGCTCGTGCAGCGAGAGCGCGGCGACCGACTTTTAAACTTTTTGAAAGTAAAAGTTCCGTCGCCGCGCTGTTTCATAATTTGTCTACAACAATGTAATGTTTTTGATGTTTTCCACAACCTAACGACGTTGCACGAGACATGACGCACACGTTATTAAATTCGTCGTTGCGCCCACAGTAGTTATTAAGGAAACGTACATAGGCATGTGTTTCATACCAACGATTAATGTATGTCGGTCGTTTTTCATTGTAGCCATCAAACGAGCGGGTACCGTAGACTGCGCAGTAACGACCAGTGATATCGTCAAGAAAGCAAATGCGTTAGAATGGCATACTATTACTATTATCAAAGTAAGATACATCCAATAAACACCTACCTATATACAATTATTGTTATCGTTGACAAACAATGTCATGTTTGACAAATGTAAGAACTTTAAAACTATTATAAAATCTCATGTATAAAGTATTTGTAGTAAAAACGTTTTGGAAGATAACATTTTATGTTCGATTAATTTATAATATACTATTAATATTATTAGATGGACAAGAAGTTTATCCATACTACACAATATAAGTCGTCCAATTTATATTAAGTACATTTCATTGCTGTGATGAACAACGAGTATTGCAAATATAAATTTTAACAAGTGTACATTTTAATAGTCATACTTCAATACTAAAGTCGGTTATGGTATAACCAACTGACAATAATTATAATTTAAATAATAATATTTGAATATATTATTAAAATATTTGTATATCTAACATCATATTAAAGATTAGGTAAAGATAGCTTTTCATATTTAAATATAAAACAAAGTGAAAATGTTATGTTGATTTCAGAAGTAAAACCTTGATATCTCTAAAAAAAAAAGTCAAGTATTAGGTATATAATTGTCAATTTCCACTTAAAATTAATAGTTTTTACATTCTAATATGTTGTTAATAAATATTTAAGTTATTTATTTCTAAATGGTCATGCATTTCTGCATCAATCTATTTATTGCTGTAGCATTACAAGTATTTGCTTACAAATTTATTTGAATATGTAAAAAAAAAAATTATATTGAGCATTTTAGGTAGCTTAGGTTGATGGCATTTTAGCATCAATAGCAACTTTTGGCTGTCATTACATTGCTACTTAGCTAACTTGCTGTTACGGATTTAAAGTGTATTCACTACCATTGTAATTTAATAAAGCTGTCGGTGGACACTGAAATACATATACAATTTAGCAATGTCACCTGTGTAATAATATCTATGTATTTTACTGGTTACAGCACCACCCGACCCACTATCACCTGTACCAACCACTGAAGAATTAACACCACCTCAGCCACCCTTACTAATGCTGTCTTCTCCATCGCAACAACAGCAATTGAATATACCACTTCTCACACCTGTTCATCCATCGGTAACAACATCAATGCCATTGTTGACGACAACTACTACTACTACTATAGAAAATAATGAACAGCAGCAGCTACCCACACCAAATACATTTATTAGGCATTGCGATGACATGGGTTTATTTCACGATTTACAAAACATTGTAGTAATGTCTTCATTAACTGGACCATCAGGGGATACAACTATTACTACAGTTCCTGCTTCTACTGCTGCAACAATAGTTACCACAACATCAACCGGACAACCTACTTCTTCAAATTTATTTGACTCGTCGTCAACAGCAATTGTGACAACCATGATGATGGCCAATCCGTTTGACGAAACATTTAAACAAGCAGTATTGCAACAACAAAAGAATGAAGTTAATTCATCAGAAAATATTTTCAATCACAACAATAACAATGATGGTGATTTAAACACCCCATTCATAGCGACAACTACTGTTGTTAATACGTCCAATAACAACACTAGTAAGTGTAACACAGGCTTACATCGAACTAGAATAATAAGTTATTATGAATAGTTTCTTAAGGTTATTAAAATAGCTCTTAAAAACAACTAAAGTTTTCTTTGCAATTCATACATTTTGTGTTTAAATAAAAGTTATTCATCTATGGGCACTTAGATACATAGTGAGTTCTCATTAATTAATTTTAATTGTAATTAAAAATTAAAAAAAAACCTTTTTATTGCACATTTTTGAATAAATATAAATGACTGCCATACCTACCTGATTTTCATCTGATATTTATAATATTACTTTGTTTATATGAGTAACTGGCTTATTTAAGTTTAAAAAAATACATAATTTCAGCTTTGAAGACTTCAATGTCAGTGGATGTGATTTCTACAGCTGCAGTAGTTGAATCTAATAAGATGAATATGACAACTGTGCCTCAATCACCACAGCAAAATATATACATAACGTCTACAGCAGAAGTAGGTTTACTCAATTTATATTCCATGTACAATTTTTTAATATATTGTTGGTTTTATTTTTATTTCATTCAAGGCACCAACTAGAGGTGTTTTAGTTATGATGGTAGAGCATCCACAAGAGCAATCAGGTAATTCAATTCTCCCTTTACAGCCTGAAGAACAACAACAAATTATCCAACAGCATCAGTTCATTGTTCCAACAACTACAACCACAACTAGTGTCATTGATACAACAACAATAACACACCATGATCAAGAATTGTATGATGAAGAAGTCAATGATGAAAACGGTGGTATAATCATCAATGTTAGAAATGATACAACTACAATTAAACAGGTTGGTATTCAATAATCATTTATTTTTTTCGTTTCATGAACCAACTGCCCAGATAATTTTTTTGATGAATAGTAATGATGCCACCTGTATATGCTTTTTTGTTCACCACCATTAAAGGCTTTAAAACAGAATCTATTGGTAAAGCAACTGCTACAGAGGCGGCAGAAGCCTCCACTTATTTCTGAAAACCATCACGAGCTCGGTCAACTACTGCAGCATCAGAATAACGACAATAACATTGATTTTGTTGTCACAGAATCCAATAAACTAGAACATGAAGAAAATAGTTTCAATGGCCTAGAAGACGAAGACCACAACAGTCGAAAGCAGCAACTGAAACAGAAACGAAAACAAGAAATGTTAGAAAGGAACAGGTACTCAGAACTTATCTTAGTATATGAATATCAACCTTGAAATTTCATTTTTGTTTTTTAAATGTACAAGTTATAACTTATAAAAACTCATTGATTGCATGTATATTGTGTAAAAAATTACATCATGGATTTTATAAAATGTCTGGTTTTTAATCATAATAATATACTATTAAAATATATATACTGCAATTATTATTATTATTGTAGGATTCAATAATTTTAGTTAACAATTAATATTGTTTGTTGTATAAATAGAATAATTATTAAAAATCAATAATTTGATACAGGACAGCCGCCAAACGGTGCAGAATAAAGCGAAAGCAGAGGTGGGAGCTGCTTTCAGAAGAGAATCGTAAGCTGAAAATTGAAAATGGCCGATTGCGTGATGCTCTTTCAAAACTTGTGAACCATAGATGCAGTAACTTACAGCAAAATCAAATAGAACAGCCAGAGGCAGTACAAGAAATATTTAAACATAGTGATGATGTTTAAAACCATGATGTTGTTGTTCTAATATTGGTGCCTAAATAAGTAATATTTACTTTATATAATATTGTTACTGGGGCTTTGAAGTTGTAGGAGTTGTATATTTTTTCAAGTGCTTTTGATTTATAAAAGATCAAGCTAGAAATTCATTCTATGATGGTGAGATTATTAACAATTTTGTATGCATTTAGGATCTATACAATTTTTTTCTGGTAGCTATTTTTTTACACTTATTAGTTATCAAAGATTTTTATTTTTCTAATGGTTTCTCCAAATTAGTAAAAACAAACTGTTCCACTACAACAAAACAGTTTGTTAATGCCATGTCTTTGCTATATGTTTCTATGACTTATTTTTATTTTCTTAGGGACTGATTTTTATTACATTTCAATGGTATTTTAGTTTTTTTAATAAAATAAATAATATGGTATATACTATATACTATTGTAGTAGTATACTACCTGCTATTATGTAACTAATGATTAATATTTTTTTTTCGACCTTCTAACTTTTATATGCGTGCATATTTTACTTTTATAACTTCTAAGTCCTAATTATTACTATATACTATATAGATTATTACTACTATTATACAAGCTGGCAGTTAACCTTTGTATGTTTTAAGATTTACAGTGGTCTCTGCTTATTGGACTTATGGTTAATTGGCTCATTCACTTAATAGACTCAAAATGATTGGTACCGATTTGCACGTGTACTAGAACAAAGCAAAATTTAATTTTTTTAGATTCGCACATCGGTTAATGGGGTCATTTTTAATCAAAAAAAGGGAAAAACTAATCAACTCTGGATGGTTTTTTTTATCAAAATTTAATTAATCTACAAAAATTGATCTACACCACACATTTTTTTGTACCCATATGTTATTTTTATTATTATGCATTTAATACATATTAGCCGAAACCTCAAAAAATATTTTTTAAGTAAATAATTAATATACTTTCAAGTTTTTGGCGGTATTTCGCCTCATCGACTCATTCAGTTAATGAACTCAAATGGTCTAGTCTTAAAGTGAGTCTAACAAGCAGCAACCAGTGTATGTGTATTATATAATTTTGTACAAAAAATTAGTACTATCAAGTACTCATGGTAATCAGTTAACATAACTTATAACTATAACTATAATACTTTAATTGTTTGTTATTATGTACCAATAATATTTTACTTCTAAAATTTCTTTTTGTTTTTTTAAGTTTTTTTTAAGTTTTTCTTATTTGTTTTTTTTTATAATAATATGTATAAGTATATTTTATTTATTGTTTTATTGTATATCCATAAATATAATAGTTAAGCTAATTTTTTTTTTAAATTTTGTTCATCAAGTATGTGGTTTGTTCATAGTTTAAGCATGTTATGCTCAATTGTTATTTTTTTTAAACTGTATGACTGTATGGCAATAATTTTAGATGGTAATTTTTAATAACTCAATACAATTTTGTATTAACAGTTATATTGTAATTTGGTTTGTTTTATTCATAATTATTGCCAAACTAATAATTCCTTCATTTTGTAATTTTTTTTTTTTTTTGTTAATAACATTTCATTCATCAACATTTACTAAATACAAAATCTATTACTAATAATAAACAATATTTTTGAAATAAAATGTCTATATAAAAAAAAATTAAATTAAAAAAAAATGGGTTTAATATAATTAGTTATTGTTTACAACAATAGATTTTATTGAATAGCATAATTTTATATTTATTAATATAATTAACAATAATGTAAGTAATATTAAAGATGATTCAGTTAAAATATACAAGTAAAATATAAGAATATAATAATTAATATAATTGTTTCATATCAACAAAGAAAGTACTAAAGGTAACTATTTATTTTCCGATTAATAAATATATGCTATACAATTAAATTGTATGTGATTGTTTATTATTATTAGACAATAATTTAAATTAAATTAAAAATGTATGAAATATTGTTTAATATTGCTTAAATTGTCATAATTGAACTGTGTTACATTTTGACTATAAATTGTGATTGATTGACCTTTATTTTATAAACTGTTAATGCTAGAAATAGTTTTTGTAATTAACATATTCAGATTTATATTTAATATCATAATTACTACTCCTATAGTCTTATTATTTGTATCCAATTATACACCCTTTATACATGGGTAGTATTATATTAATCAAAATTTTTTTATTTAAAATTTAAGTCTTATTTTGATGTATCTATGTTACTTGGTTTATATATTATTAACCAATAGTTGTTTTTTCAATTAAATATTTTATTTTTGTTAAGTTTGTATGTTAGTTTTACATGTGTAAGGACTGTTTATGTTATTTCAGTTAAAATATATGTATTTAAAATAAATTGTGTAAGCACTCAAATAACTTAGTATGTTTGTTTGTAGTTGAGTTGCTGTAATACTTTACCTAATTTCCAAACATTTTCCAATTGAAAAACTAGACTGTTTTTGGTTGAATAGAAAGTTTTCAATTAATAGTGTTTATAAAAGTTACATGGTACTTAAATTAAATTAAAAACTAAGTGTACTAGGTAAATAAGTAAATATTACTACAAACCAAACCTATGCTTGTCAGTGTTAGACACTGTAATATAATAATATTTATTTGTTGTTTGATAAATAGACATGATCATGTTAAAATCTAAAATACATTTTTAATTTTAAAAATTGGCTCAGTTTTCAGGTACCTTATAAGATTTAATCAGGTATTTAATTGAAGTAAGTTATGTTAAATATTTGTATTTAATTTAAATGTTTATCAGAACACAATTAATTATTGATGATTGGATAGCATTATCATCACAATTTAAAATTTTTTTCATTAAATAATGTGTATGTATTTAAAACGTGCATGCACGTCAGTAAAACGATAGCACATATCCATTTACTCTGATGGATGTGTTAAATTTGAGTTCAATGATACATCATTGTATATTATAATGTTTTTTTCTTATTTATATCTTAGGTTTAAAAATGTAAAAAAGATTGCTAGAGAAGTTGTTCTAATAGCAGTTTAAAAATTAAAGATACATAGGCACGAATGCACAATTTTTTTACAAGTATTTAAAGTTCAAATTTGGACATAGTTTATTAAAATCTCAAAAATATTGCAAATTATTTAATAATAACAACATTCATTTTTAAATAAAACTACCTTCCGATCCAATCTCTGAGTAAACTTGTTTTAGGTTGGGTGAGTCTTTAATCAATAATAAGATAAATTATAATAACCTCAATAATAAAGAGTCAATAGAAAACAATATGTTTGTACATTTAATTATTTTATAGTTAATAATTTATAAAATGTTCAATTGTTATAGTTGCAGGTTGAAAATGTAAAACAAGGTTTTGCAAGTAGTTCATATTGTAACCAAAAAATATAAAAAGTCTTTTAAAGATTCATCTTACTGTGTTACTAAATAAATTACATTAATAACATTAATATCGTAAAATATATTTAATATTATAGGCTGATATACCGTCCTTGCACATAATTGTTTTTCGTAGGTACATATACAATGATATTGTGTCATTGAACTCAAATGTAACACATTCAATACAAACAACAACTCCCTAGATACCGCATGTACCAGTGACGTGTATCATAAAAATAGTAGGTGTTGCCCAAATAATTTTAGGAGACCTGCCCTTCATTATACTGTTATACCGACCTATACAATTTCCTATTTTTCTTCTACCAATGCCCACCCACCCATATTTGAGGTGTTGCCTAAGCAACACTTTTACCCTATGTAACACGCTACTGGTATGTACAGCAAAATGGTATCCACTTGTCTATTTTTCAAGTTAAATGTTCAAATAGAAAAAAGGTTGAAAATTTGTACATTAGATGTAATTTATTAATGTACATATAAAACACTAGATAAAGTAATTAGGTATCATTGAACCTATAAATATATGATTTTTTAGTTGTGGCATAGGATAATTATTTAAACGCTATATTTATTTTGTGAGTGCTGATGTAATTTTTAATTTATGTAAGTATAAGAAATTACGATAAGCATCTTCCCGAATCTTCACAATCATTAGTTATCAAATTCAAATACAAGTGTGCAGCTCAAAAATCAGAAAAATTTAAAATAGTCACCGAATTTATTATTACAATGTTAAAGAAACTAACTGAATTTACTGTAATATTATTTTAAATTCAAAAATATACACTATTTAATTGTAATACTATCATACATCATAAGTCAGGAATACTTGTTATAAAATTTCTTGTAAATAATACTGACAATGCATAATGATTTCAAGTTTGACGTTGATATTCTAAAGGTGAGTACAGATGAGTGAATTTTGCTGGTTAGTCAGCTGTAAGTCAGTGTAAACTAGGGTATTCAAACTCTGTGTGGACTTGACATGAAAGAATATGCTTCCTAGAGCATGGTCAAATATTCCGGTGCATCAGATATCAGAAAGCCGATTGAAAGCACTTCCATTACTCGTTAGTATAAACATTATTATTATTGAGGTAAAAACTAAGATAGAACTGAGAATCTCTTTCCAAAGCTGAGTTGTGGACTATAGAACTGGGTAACAGGCATGTAAAAAACTGTACAAATAAACAATCGTTGTTCATTATCGCATGATAATGTAAGTTTATTTCTCTAGCCTAGACTATGGCTGGCTATAAAATGTCTAAATTATAGACCAGCCACCAATTTAGTATACTTGTTCATAGTCCATACTATGATCTTGTCTATACCCATCTGTCACAACTCACCAGCATCTCCACAATGGCAGATGCTAGAAATGGTGACGGGAGTTACCGTAAATTGTAAAATAACGCAACAAGATGATATAATAAATTTAGTCTTCATAGGCATGATGTGTTTATGGTTGTCTATTATATAAGAATGGGACTAATAGTCAACAAATAAACACAGATATTAGTTAATGCTCAATAGAAATTATATAAAAACAGTGAAACTGTGAAAGTGTGAACGTGAAAGAAATTGACGGATAAATATCAGCCCGCGCCCCGCAGTTGTGTATTAGTATCAGTTGCACTGTGATGATTATAATTTATAGCTGATAAACGTTTATTCGCCGGACGCCAAAGTCGTTGTAGATAACATGACGTAAACAAACAAAAAACATCGTGACCTCCGAGTACGACCAGTTTGGAGAGTAACAACAGGTTAGGAATTAAGTTATTAGGTTATGTCAAAAAAAATAAATAAAAAAAATGCTGCAAACATGACTATGGCAAATTATACGTTGTTATGTGTTCATGGAAATGATCGTTATTTGTCCGGCGTCTCCCCACTCCTATCGGCGCCCGATCATTGTGCGTTTGTGTGCCTGACGCTCACAACATTCCCGGCTCGCGCGTATTCACGTGTGTTTTACTGTTTTAGCGTCGTCGCCTGCCAGGACCAAACTGAATTTTCTGTTAATTATTAAATGATAATATGAGTTTCATTACAGTCTATTTAGTCGAACTACATTGATCGCTGCTAGTCACTTCTTTTTTTTGTTCCTACGAGTGCCGCTGTCCGATTCCACCATGAATCCAAGGGAACTCCATAGTCAGAATTTTGATCTCTGCAGAATTTGTCTGCGTGAGCCGGAGTCCCACAGAGACATGTCGTTTCTTAGTGTTTGTGAACGTGTCTTACACGCTCCCCAGAATTTGAGCATAAATAATCTTATGTCTGAACTGCTTGGAATCAAGGTAAGTATTTAGATATGTAAAAAAAATAAAAAATAAAAACATGGAAATGAAATTGATATTTTGAATCTTCCTTAGATCGACTTCACTGATGTCAAACCTAGGATTGTTTGTGAAGTCTGCTGCAGTTCACTGGTTTCCTTTTATGAGTTTAAGGCGAAAGCGGCTGAATCTGAAATTGTCGTCAATTACATTGCTACAAGAGGAGTAAGTGAAATTTTTTATGAGGACGCTGTACCCGCATGTGTTGTCTCCGTCTCACAAGAGCGTAACATATCAAATTTTACGTTCAGCAGATCACGTTTAACTCAGTTAGCTTAGAAATTAGAATGAATTGAATTCTTATTAGACTTAGGTAAAGGTAAGATTATTACGGAGGGCTTCTCATAGGCTTTTTATTATATTTTACTTTTAGAGAGAGTTATGAGTATTTTAAGTTGCGCAAACTATTTACAATTTTTGCAGGTATAGCGTTCTCTTAATAATGACTTGCACCTAATTCACCTTTAAGATTTATATTTATAAAATATGTGAAATGCTTCAACAGAATATGGTATGTTATAAATTAATGTTGGTATATGCCTATGAATGTTCGTAAGCATTATTTCAGTAAAATTACTAAAGCCCATATTATATTGGGCATGTATTAGTCATTTAAGCTGACATCCTACTTGCATGTGTAGCCTGTGTCTAACAATTGTGTAACAAAGTAAATTTATGCTCGGAGGTTCTCATTTAGGTTTGTTAGGTAATTGTTTTAATATTAAAGTCAATTTACCCATAAAGATAACATTTTCTTTAGTTTGATAGAAGCATTTTTTCAATTTTTAATTTTGAAACAAATTACATTTGTCTAAAGGTAAAACATAACAATTTAAGAGGATGTCATCTTTAATGTAACACATTGTGTCAGCACATAAGAGATGGCATTGCACTTCTTACTTCTATGGTGGTAGACAACTGTCCAAAAATCTCTGCCGATTCCATTGCCATCACCTTGGGTCCAACATATTCTAATGGTTGAATATCATATCATAAACCTATAGTCTGTCTCACGTAAGAAAGGCACCGCGTCTCGACAAAACTCGGTCATTATTGAGCATCCCCCACACCTTACATCACCTTGTCATCACTACTTCCTTTCTCTCATGAGACAGACCTTGGTAGTTGCTTTAATACTTTCTAATCACTATGTCCCTATGTCCCTACAGTTGCATATTAGTCATCCAAACATTTCTAGCATGATTGCTCACACTTATAAATTAATTATATTTTATACACAACTAACAAGTAAAGAAAAGCTTTATACGTGCTCCTATAGGTATATAATAATAATAATAATAATAATAAAAATATAATAATATAATAATAATAATAATAATAATAATTATGGGGGACAGAGTGGCCGAGTGGATAACGCGTCGGTTGCAACGTGCATCGTCGCCGGTTTGAACCTCAATCACGGGCAGCACTTATCTCCGGGCAGTCACTGTGTACGGAGAGAGAGGCCGCCATCTGCCAACCGGGCATGGCAGAAACCTACGGGTGCCCACTAGAAATTCTGCCAAACAAACACACACGTGTTCCGTAACCCTACAGTTCCAAAACCCTACAGCTAATGGCCTCAGTTGTTGAAGCTTAAATAAATAAAAAAAATAATAATAATAATAACAATTATTATTATATAATAATATAATAATTACTTAAAAAACCACTTCACTGAAAGAAACTATTTCTATTAGGACTTCATTGTATAACTCAATTTAATAAGAAATTGTACACGTCAAATTTTATAAACATTTATTTTTCATCACCATTATATTGGTAATCTTTAACTTTTCTCAGGAGTAATAAACTGAAATGAATAAGAATATTTTGAACTAAAATTACATCAATTGAAGGGTGGGCGGGAATAACGTGCTATGTAGCAATTCGTAAATGTTCAGGAACAACTAAAAACGAAAACTGTATCATACATTTTTTTTTAATGTATTTGGAACGCACATAGCACGTTCTTCCATATTCGACTATAACACTCTACAATATTTCATTATTTATTTTTTTGTGTAGGTACTGTATTCATTTCACTCAAACAAAATTATATTATAAATACTAATATTAATAAAACATAGTCAAAATCACGTTATTTTTTTTGCATATTTTAAAATTAATACAATATAATATTATCCTGGTATTTTATTACCCTTTAAAAAACCACATAATTATTTTGACATATTTTAAAATTAATACAATATATTATCCAGGTAATGATGTATAGAAGTCCCTGTATTGTTGAGGCATAACTTGCACATGTCTAAAAGATCTTTTTTCTTATATTTTATTAAGGCCACTGGGGATTCGTAGGCTGATGGTAAATCTTTAATAGATAAAGTATTATTTTTAAAGTTGTTTTGACGTATTTGATGTAATGTCCAAGGTCTCAGTGTATTGTAACTTTCACGAATATTTACATGCTTTGGAGCATCAGCTGTCAATTTCAACCACATTGCTAGTGTTACTTTTAGATTTTTTTTTGTAATATCTTGTTCTAATGCAAAAAAATCTTCAAAATCATTTTGAGACATTTCTATAATACGAAATGGTTTTTCTAATCTTGCACTAGCTATAACATATTTCCATTGTGACGGTACAAGTACTTTTGCTGTTTTTTTTTGTTTTTAAATTAAAGCGAAATCAAGGTCACATGGTAAAAAACTATAGCCAGTCGAAAGACATTTTTGATTAATTTCTATAAAATACTTGCAAAATATTAGATAGGAATACATGATTAATATTCGCCAGTTATTATTTTGACCGACACATCTATCAGACCATATTATCAATTTCCTCTCTTCGCCATGTCCAAGAATATCGTAATTATTTTCGTTTAAAATTTAAAATACACGAAGCTATTTCTAATGAGCCTCTTTTAGCGATACATTCATACCACAAATGCATAGAAACTTAATTATTACCTACGTTATGAATTGCTAAATTAAAGTTAGAAAGTTGTCTCTGATAAAACATGTTAGAATGTGTAAGAGTTAGGCAAAATAATACTTGCTGTAGATCAACGCATAGCACTACAATAGAGCTATTGAGTCTACCGATGTCTGTATCTTTTTTAAGGGCATCATACGATTGCTCAGCTTTAGAATGATGCAGCTTACTATCAATTTCTATTTTTTTTCTTTCTTCCTCAGTATCAGCTGCCACTAATTTATTATAAAAAAAATCACACTGTTTGCATGTATCTGAACGCGGATAGCCGAAACGTAATTTAAAGTCTGACCGAAAAATATTTCTATAGATACGTTTACTGACTTTTATATCTGGATATTTATTTTTAAAAGATCGATAAAGCTTACACAAATTTAAGTCTGAACTCAAACATTGTAGCGTTACGGCTGTCTGTAGCGATACGGCTGTAATGAGACGGTTGTCGAGGTAAACTATTTATGTGTTGTCTAATTAAATCTCTTACAGGGGCATCAATAGCATGAGGTCTATTTAAATGTTTTCCACAGTTATCCCTAGGTGTCATAATACCTAATTAAATTTTATCTTGTAGCGTCATAACACGTCTTCTTGTAATACAAAACGTATTTAAAAGAGTATTTTTGCATACCTGTAAATCATCTATGTAATATTTAAATGAACAAAATCGTCGAGATGTAGAATCAGTTTTTCCTGGTCGTCTTCTCACAGGAGCATTTACTTTTATACACTTATACAAAAAAGCTGATTGTTCATCATACGTTAACTTATAAAATTCGTCAAATAATAAAAGTTTTCTTGCTAAAGTCATTGTTGCACAACCTTGCCAAGGACATGAACTCTAGTCACAAACTTGATCCTAAAATTTTTAAAAATGTATATCAAATATTTTTCAACATTATGTTTATTTTACTACATTCATAACATTTTTACTAACCACGGTTGGAGGTGTTTTAGCTGGTACAAGTTTTTTACTCTGAGATGTATATTCCTTCCCACTATTTCAAAGAGTTTTGTTTTTTTCATTTTTCCAATCTGTCATATTGATTTTCCGTTTTCATCCATCACTTAAACGGTTAACATCACTAGTAGATAAATTATTTAGACTTGTCATAGTTGAATTGGTAACGCAATTGTGATATTCGCACGTCTCTTGTCGCGTTGACTTACTGTGAATAGTAAACGCTTAACGCACATAGCACGTTTTAATAGTCAACTAATCGCCGGTTTCAAAGTATATACACGATGATTGTGTACGATAAAAACATTCTGGAAATTTTTCGATTCTTAAAATATATCGAGATTGCTTCATAGCATGTTATTCCGCAAAAAAATAAAAATTGAAAAAACTGTTACATAGCACGTTATTCCCGCCCACCCTTCAATTGATTATTGACCAGGAAAATAGAAAAAATCCAATAAACGATTGTTTTTTGTACTTCTGCAACTTATTCATTATTACAAGTACCTACCTATTCCAAATTTTAAATTATTTTTCTTAAATTAAATCTGAAACATGAGTATATTACTATTATTTATTACTTCATAAATAATAATTAATAAATTAATTATGTACCTACTGACAAATTTAATCAAGGGAGAATGTTTTTATTTTTTAACATTTTCTTTGTAGATACCTATTTAATTTTTATATTATACATCAATTTTCAGTAAACATGAAAAAGTGACATTGTGTTCTTTTTGTTACATGTGTAGTGATCTGATGACTACAGGTGTCCTTGAGAGGAACAGGATGAGGTTTATTTTGATTTAATTTGTAACGCTGATGTAATGTGGTATAATTTATTAATATTTAATCGAGTATTTAATGAAACAAATATAATTGAAACTGTTTATTTGCTATTCTCTACTAGAAAATTTGTTGCAGATAATTATTTAGAGTGTTTAGGAAATATCGGTTGGACTCAAATATTTTCTTAGGCCAAATAATTAACTGTTCAAAATTATTCGAAGTCCAAAATAATATAATAAGAGACTGACTGGCGTGAAGGTGCTCTAGCTCATCTGGTCAAATCACATCTGAATATGGGCTGTTCGGAGCTCTCCTATATAGGCTTATCCTCTACTTCTCCTAGCCCTTTTGGTAAGAGTATTGTTTCCACGGATGCTGTGTCTGCCAGCTATCGTTCTGGGAAATATTAACAGCCCAAGCCCCGATAAGATTTTCCTGAATGCGCAATATGGGTGGT